CCCCCCCCCAAAACACACACACACACACGCACACACACGAACTGATGCTTAGCAATTTATTTAATAGTTACTCCGATATAGACTGGTTCTGAACATCCAGCTTTGAAGGATTTAAGGTTCCAGGATGCAACTAAACTAGCCTGCATATTAGTGGTCAGGGGTCCCTTTACCTTTACTCCCACTTTTGGAATAGCAGTGCCTGGCGAACACTGGAGAGAGGAGCAAAGTGCCTGAGGTTGGAGGTGTACAAAACCGCAGCCCTTTGGGCTGTTCACGGAACCCAAGGGTTCCATAGATCTTTGCTGGAAAACAGAGGGAGGATGACTAGAATAGTTAAGAAAAAATGCTGGTGCCATGAAAGGCAGAGATGCGATCTGTGGCCATGCTTTGGTTTACAGGCCACATTTGCCCGCCGAAGCACATTTCTGGGGCTGTTTGCTTTTAGTGACGCTGTTACCTTTCTCAGCTAACGCATCGCAGAACCCGGCGCCATTCCCTGAATTTCTGAAAGCGGTGGGCATTGCTAGGTATTTAAAAGACTCAGAAGACCTGTGACACAAATCTTTGTAAGATATACATGTTGATCTATATGCCAAGATGCACATTTAAGCTGACCTTCAGAAGGAAAAATAAACTGGTTCTTTTGTCAGGGCTTTATTAACACGGTAGGTGACTGGGGGTCTCTCTAGCTCCAGAGCAGCACACACAGCTACATTGCAAGCCAATTTTGGGATATTCAAATGCATTTAAGTTTGTTTGGGACCAATAAACAGCAGAAGATCCCAGGCTCAATACTGGCATCTCCAGTTAAAAGGATCAGGTAGCAAGTGGTGTGAAAGCTACCGGACTAGATAGAGGAACAGTCTGAGTGGAGGAGGGCAACTTTCCACGGGCATCTTTCATGGATGCTTTAGCTGTGATTCCTGCATTGTAGGGGGTTGGACTAGATGACCCGTGGGTCCCTTCCAACCCTATAATTCTATGTGTTCACACTGCACAGGTGAGCTCCCCAATAGTGCCTACAGATCCAGCAGTTCTGAACAATTAACGCAACCAAGTTGATTCACATACTTTAAACAAGCCGAGGTAGGTTTCTTTGCGATGCCAGGAACCTTGCATTGTTTCCAGTGTTGGTCATAGTCAGGCCACATCTACTTAATTACACCACCTTAATTACTGTAATAGCTATGGCTCCCCCCCAAAAAATAATAATATTGGGAACTGTAGTTTGATAAGGGAGCTGAGAGATGATAGGAGCTACAGTTCCCAGAGTTCCCTGTGAAGAGGGGTTGATGGTTAAACCACTTGTTATACCACTCTGAGGACTATAGCTCTGTGAGGGGAATAGAGGGTCTCCTAACAACTCTCAGCACCTTAGCAAACTACAGTTCCCAGGACTCTTTGGGAGAAGCCATGACTGTTTTCAGTGGGTATGATACTGCTTTTAATGTGTAGAGCAGGTGTGGTCTCAGAGTAGGCCCATGACAAGCTTAGGTCCATTAATTTTGGTAGGTTTACCCAAAGCAATCCAATGATTATCTTGTGAACCGTCCTGAGATCTTCAGATGAAAGGCAGTTAGTTAGATAGGTAAAGGGACCCCTGACCATTAGGTCCAGTTGTGGCCGACTCTGGGGTTGCGGCGCTCATCTCACTTTATTGGCCGAGGGAGCTGGCGTACAGCTTCCGGGTCATGCGGCCAGCATGACTAAGCTGCTTCTGGCGAACCAGAGCAGCACACGGAAACGCCGTTTACCTTCCCGCTGGAGTGGTACCTATTTATCTACTTGCACTTTGACGTGCCAGATCATGAAGCCTGAGGCTCCAATACTTTGGCCACCTCATGAGAAGAGAAGACTCCCTGGAAAAGACCCTGATGTTGGGAAAGCTTGAGGGCACAAGGAGAAGGGGATGACAGAGGACGAGATGGTTGGACAGTGTTCTCGAAGCTACAAACATGAGTCTGACCAAACTGCGGGAGGCAGTGGAAGACAGGAGTGCCTGGCGTGCTCTGGTCCATGGGGTCACGAAGAGTCGGACACGACTAAATGACTAAACAACACTTTGACGTGCTTTTGAACTGCTAGGTTGGCAGGAGCAGGGACCGAGCAACGGGAGCTCACCCCGTCGCAGGGATTCGAACCGCCGACCTTCTGATCGGCAAGTCCTAGGCTCTGTGGTTTAACCCACAGTGCCACCTGCATCCAGTTAGTTAGATAGATAGATATAAATTGCAAGCTACCCAGCAAACCATTGGCTTCTTTGGTTATAATGCTGCTGATGGAAGAATATGACATGTATTTTCTCAGATACTATCTGTAGATCATCTTTAGATACTTTCCCCTCAAGTAAATCTGCCAGGATGTATAAAAATGGTTTGAATGCATGTTGGAAGTGTCCACAGATGGAAGGTACAATTTTCCACATGTGGTGGACATGCAAAAAGGCCAAAGGATTCTGGGAGGTGATCTAAGATGAACTGGAGATGTTTAAGCTGACATTAACAAAAACAAGAACAGAGGCTTTGCTTTTAGGAATAATGGATATTCCCAAGAAGTTGCTCAATCTATTTCTATAAACGAAAACAGTGGCAACAGTAATACATGCGCAAAAGGAGAAGAGAAAAGAAATCCCAATTAAGGAAGAGTGGCAGAACTAACTGACAGAATACGTGCAGTTGGTAAGTCTGACAACAAAAATCAGAGACCAGGAGGAGTCAGTGTTCAGGGAGCAATGGAACCATTTCGTAGAATACTTTAAGACATAATAGCCAGATAAGTAGGATTTGAACTATGAATAGTGGTGAAAAATAATTTAGATTGAAGAGGGGTGTTAGGAATGATAAGGGGAAATTGGGAAACTATGGGGGGATGGAGGGAAAGTTCATAGGTTTTAGAAAGAATGGTGGTTAATTAAATATGTATTAAAGGTTTGGAAAAAATGTTGTTGTTGTTAGACATGTATTTTCCCAGTGCCAGTTACAGTGAGGAAGCTAGGAAAGAAATTGTGCAATGAGGCAGAAAGGCAAAAGGTCCTGGGGTCTGATTCCTGCTGATGGAGCCCCTTGTTCAGTGCTCAAAGGTGACACTGTCTGAGAGGCAAGGAGGCCATTCAATTGTGAGTTTTAATGTTGCTGCGTGTCAGAAGAACATCAGTCGCTTGAGCCCATCATCTTGAACCTTGGCTGAGCAGCACAAGGCAGGCGGTGAAAAATGGAGCCCACAGAAACCCAGAATCTCTCCGAACAGGAGACGATGGCACCTTCCATGCCGGAGCAAACGCAGCCCGCCCCCCCCCCTCCGCAGCATCCCTGCCCATGGCTGCCTGGTGCTGCTGTTGCCATGGGCACCGTGGGCGTTTGTGGGGGCTGCATGTTGCTGACAGATATTTTTGTTCTAACTAACCAGAAACGAACGATCATCATCGCTTGGTTTCTGGGAGGTAAAAGTGCAGCTGGGTATTACCAGAGGAAGGCTGCAGCAGCTCAGCTTTGACCCAAGAAATCATCCCGTCCCCCAAATCCTTCCCAAGACAGAGGGGAGAAATCTGTGCCAACATTTCATTCTCACTCAAGCCAGTCAAGGGGACTTTGCTTCCTTATCCCACCTCACAAATAAAGAGGAGTGTCTTGTTCAAATGTCGTTCTTTTGCAAGACCACGGCTGATTGGGTCTCAGAATGCACACTCCGTCCTGCTTTTCTTGCCTTCGCTCAGCAGATGTACACTTCTGTGGCATCAACTCAAAAAAAATTGCTTTTTTTGTTTGTTTGTTTCCAGCACAAACCTTGTCCAGTGACCTAAAGGAGCACCTTCTTCCATATCTTGCTCCCTCTCCAAGGAGAGCAAGCTTTGTTTCAGAATCTGCCCTTCCAGGAAGCTAGGTCAATGGCGAGCTGAGCACAGGAACTTTGCGGGTTGCACCAACACTATGGAGCTCCCTAGAAAGAAGCAAGCGGTTTATTGGTTCATCTATCTCAGTATATTCTTTGAGTCCCTGGGTTCTTGGACAGAGAGGCGGCCTTCCAGCCCCATTACTGATGTTCCTTTTGATAGGTTTGCTAATATTTCAGGGGGTCGGATTCGATGACTCTTGGAGTCCCTTCCAACCCTACAATTCTATGTCCAGAATTGGCATTTTGCAGGCAAAACAGGTGTCTGCTGCTGAGTTGCAGCCCCTCCCATAGCCTGTAGGTTTTGTGTGAAATGAAATTGTGAATAGCTTGATTTTTAGTATTTGGTGTTTTAGGAGTCTATTATAGTTTGGTGTTTTTAGATTATTGTTCTCAAGCTTTTGAACACTGGTGCTGCAAAAAAAGTATTTGATGAAGTGTTGCTATCGAGGGGGAAAACAGTGGGGAAGGGCACATTCATGCTCCTGAGTTTTAGAAGTTCTGATTTCTTAAAACAGAGACAGATAGCCAGTTACCATTCAACTCTCACCAGAGGCAGCCAACATTCTCTAGTCCAACTCTATCTGGAGGGCTGTTCCCTATCACTGCCTTAAGATAGCACCTCTTTCTTCTTTTTAAAAGGAAAAAAGGTAAAGGACCCCTGGACGGTTAAGTCCAGTCAAAGGTGACTATGGGGTTGTGGCACTCATCTCACTTTCAGGCCAAGGGAGCCGGCGTTTGTCCACAGACAGCTTTCCAGGTCATGTGGCCAGCATGAATAAACCGCTTCTGGTGCAACAGAACACACTGACGGAAATCAGAGCGCATGGAAGCACCATTTACCTTCCCACTACAGCGGTACCTTTCTATCTACTTGCACTGGTGTGCTTTCCAACTGCTAGGTAGGCAGAAGCTGGGACAGAGCAACAGGAGCTCACCCCGTTGTGCGGATTTGAACCGCCAACCTTCTGATCGGCAAACCCAAGAGGCTCAGTGGTTTAGACCACAGCGCCATCCGCATCCCTTCTTCTTGGTACAGAATCAAAGAATTGGAGAGTTGAAAGAGACGACAAGGGTGATCTAGTCCAACCCCCTGTAATGCAGGAATCTTTTGGCCAAAGTGGGGCTTGAACACACAAACCTGAGATTAAGAGTCTCATGCTCTACCAACAGAGCTATCGCAGCTCTCTGCGTCATTATAATAACTACTTGCCCCTGGTTTCATGCATGGAGGGCCTTGTTTCTTCTGGCAAACAGAATGGACAGCTGACTGCACTTTACTGTAGAATGGGGTGGAGTGGGGGTCTTTTTCCGCCCGAGGCCTTTCAGGATCTGCATGTCAGTGGTGCATGGGGTTACAGGCAAAAGGGGGCAGAAACAAAATACAAAAGTGGGAGATGCAAAAAACCAAAATACTTGTTACTATTTGGCACGATCACTTCACCCAGGTTGGAGAGCGGAATGCAGAACCCCTTTTCTTGTCAACAGCTGCAGCTTCTCTTTCTGACTCATTCCAACCTCCCCTTAAAGGTAAAGGTACCCCTGCCCGCTGTCCGGAGACACTTCCTGGTCACGTGGCCAGCATGACGAAGCTGCTCTGGTGAGCCTGCACCAGTGCAGCACACAGAAACGCCGTTTACCTTCCTGCTAGAAAGTGGTCCCTATTTATCTACTTGCACTTAGGGGTGCTTTCAAACTGCTAGGTAGGCAGGAGCTGGGACCGAACGACGGGAGCTCACCCCGCCGTGGGGATTCGAACCGCCGACCTTTCGATCGGCAGGTCCTAGGCTCTGTGGTTTAACCCACAGCGCCACCCGCGTCCCTTAGACATCTCCTCTTAGACATGGGCAAATCAGGGGTCAAAACTAATATGAGTGGTTATATAAGCTAGGCCTTAAATCACCTGGGACTCCTTATTTGCCTGCTTCTCATAGCCAAGGCTGCCCTCATACTGGAGACTCTCGTTTAAAGAGCTACAAAAAGTGCTGTTTCCAAACTCTAATAATACACATTTTGCCCTAGTCGGAGCATTGTACAAAGCTAGGGATCATTAACAGAGTTCTCAGCACTTTGGCCAAGGCTTGGTGGAGAATCATGGCAATAAAGCCAACTAGACTGTAATACATCCATCTACATATCTGCCATTAATATCCAGTTAGTTGCAATAGTAGGAATGCTATTCACATAGATTAGAACCACCCTGAAAAGTGATCCTGGAATAATGTTCCAGTGTCTTTATTTACCGGCACATTTGCTGCTCCATTTTGTTGCTGTTTTGATAGTGCCAATCCATTGTGTAATAGAAGTGGGGGGTAATTGATTTGCTTTGTTGCTTTTGTGTCGATGGGCCACGGCTAATGCGATCAAGAAATCTATCACAACCTTGACAAAAAAAATTACCGTAAATTTACTACATTTTTAGCCTGCTTTCCAGGCAATTATTCTCTTCTGCTCACATTAATAATAATAAAATAGCCCCCTGCATCAGGCCCACAAATCAAAGATACACACAGGAGTCGAATGGAAGGGAAAGGGAGGAGGAAATTCTTCAAGACCAGAATGAAGAGGAAAAGGTCTACACGGACATTTTTATTCCATTTGGAGGGTCAGATTCCCCTTTCCCTTTCTGGTATTCTTGCATGAGTTACAGCCAGTGGTTTGTGGCTCTTGGCTGGATCTTGAATGCCCTTCCTTCTGCAATCCCAGGGAGACACAGATTCTAGGTACCGGTATCTCAAAAACAGCATCCCCCAAAATGCTTAATATCTACCTAAAAAGATTTGCAATGGGTTTGTTTTAGAGAGCCCCAACATTAAAATGTGGGGGTAGGGAAGACAACTAGCAATTGTTTATTAAGCAGGTGACTTCCTGCCACCTGCAGGAAGGACATAAGCCTTGAAAAGGACTTTGTAGTTTAATGGCATATAAATTAGCTTACTGTAGCTACCTTCTAAGGTGATCAAGGACAATGCACTGTGATAAGATAATAAAGCACTTTGAAGGAAGTAGGGATAGCAACTTGCAGCCTTGAGACTTAATCAAACCACCACAAGCTTCACACCAGAGCCACCAGAAAAATGGCAATGGCTCCATTTCTGGGTTTGGGAGGAGAGAGTGAATTCCCTTAACACTTGTTGGAATCTGAAGTGTTTCAGCAAGCGTTCTTCCTGCTTCTAATTGTCCTAAATGGGGAGAAGTGTGGGATACACCTTCACAATTGCAAGGACCCCCTCCTTTATTAAATGCATCAGCTGCTTCTGGGGATATATCACAGAGACAAAACGGGAATGAGAAGCAGAAGGCCGCAAGGGTGGGGACCTTTGATCACAGTCTTTGTTGCTGATCAGAGGGCAGTGAGCACAACCCCTTTGGTTGTTCAGGTACACCAGTGACCGCTGTTAAACAATTAGGTGCCAACCCAGCAAACTGAAGCTTAAATTACCATTATAACCTGATGACGGCTTTGCCATTGGGATAATTGCCTTCGCCAAGTTCTTCATAGCACATCAGCTGCTTGGATATTTGCCACAACTCACCTTCATAGATCCTGCCCACCTAGCAGTTCAAAAGCATGTCAAAGTGCAAGTAGATAAATAGGTCCCGCTCTGGCGGGAAGGTAACCGGTGTTTCCGTGTGCTGCTCTGGTTTGCCAGAAGCAGCTTAGTCATGCTGGCCACATGACCCGGAAGCTGTATGCCGGCTCCCTCAGCCAATAAAGCGAGATGAGCGCCACAACCCCAGAGTCGGTCCCGACTAGACCTAATGGTCAGGGGTCCCTTTACCTTTACCTTCATAGAAACTTGTGCACAAAACTACACTGTGTGTATGAAGGAAGTGCATGCAGCTGCCTCCCACTGAACGGGCAGCTCCAGTAGGCAAGAAGCAATGCAAAGGCTACACTGAGGTTGCTTGGGACTGCCAACCCAGGGAGCACGTGTAAAAAGGAAACGGCAGAACAGCGTGTACCTAAAAAACCACTTCATATTTCCATGCTTATTTTATCATTGGGACTAGGCAAGACTGAATGGAGAGGACACATACTGAGCTGCTGCCCCAGGCTGACACTGACTTGCAATGTCAGTTGCTTTTCCCATAGCTAAGTGGTTGAGCACATGGCCTGTATGCAGGTTCCAGATTCAACCCCCACGACTTGCAGTTCACAGAAGCTCAGCGATCTAGTGATGGAAAAGACCCTTCCCTTCAATCCTGGAGAACCCCAGCCAGTCCCAGTAGGTAAAGCTGGGCTTGAAGCAGCCATGGTTTTGTGATGTAAGGCAACTTTGTATGTTCAGTCCTCCTTGGTGGGACCTCTAGTTACAAAGCAGAATTGGGGTGTACATAAGAGAGATGAATTCAGCTGCCTTGGTGTACATAAGAGAAAGAGATGAATTCAGCTGCCTTGGTTATTCTTTCAGCAGTGTGAAGAACTCTGAAAGACCTCTTTAAACACGACAACCTACGTAAGTTTAACAAATGCTGGCCCACTGGTGAAAAGATCTAATGTTGATTTTTCTCAGCGCCACAGCAGGAACGCTAAACCAAACCAACAGAGAGACTGAAGCACGAATTATGGAAGAGGTTCCTTTGCATAAGGATTAATGCACGTACATGCATATGCTTTGACATCGCGTTCTTTATTGCAAGCAGGTAAAGAGTGTGTGCTACAAGCAAGAGCCGATGCCAGGTCGACAGCACTGTCCCTCGGTTCAGCAAAGACGCTAGCATCATATGCAAACTGTAGCTTGTAGACAACCAAAATGAAGGGAGTGTTGTCAGCAGCTGCCAGAGAACACCCATTTCCAGGTGGGAGTAGAAAGAGATAGGTGGAAAGTAAAAATTAACCATGAGTAAACTTAGACCAAGCTTGGGTAACTTGAGATCCACCAAGTCATGCATTTTCAGACCTATCAAGTCCTCAACAATGCTCCCTTCCCACCCTACTTCGTTTCTGCAGTCTGACAGAAGTGGAAGTTTATCAGGACCTTGAAGAAGCTTGCTTGGCCTGAAGGGTCACAAAGTGTGCTGACTTGTCCTAGACATAGGCTGCTCAGTGTCATGGCAATGTTGCAGCTTCAGAACTCAGTTGGAACAGAAAGAAAGCCAGGCTGCCAGAAGGCATAGGCTGGAGACTAGTTGGGTAGAAATGTCTCTGCTAGGAAGAAAATAGTGTTGGGAACTGTCTTCTAGTTGGACAAAGCTGGCCTACGAGGGAGCCCTGCATGGAACTTTAAGGCTTAATCGACTGGCTCAGCACAAGGATTGATTGAGAGACGAGGCACTGAAAGCAAGCGACATTTCTCCATCTGTCCCATTTTGAGGGAAGAGGCCAGTCCCCAGTGCTTAAGTGAGGACATCTCACTTTTCTTGTTTTAGAAGAAGGCATTTTGTCTGAGCAAGGACAGCCAACTCTTTGAACATACATCTGTAAAATGGCAAGATGCTACCTTTCCCCAAATACCTGTAGGACAAAAAAATCAAAATCAAGTAGTCATTGTCTTTGACATTTCACGGCACATCTGTTTCCCCACTCCTACTTCAGCACCATACAAGTACAACAGATATTCCAAGGAAGGTTTTGATCATTTTTTTTAGAATCCAGCACAGTTTAATACCCACTGTTCATGATTGGGGGAAAAACAAAAAAAACCACTAATCCAGGTCATGCAGTCTTAAGACTATTTTCACCATTAGGAAGCCCAACAGGAGGTCAGAAGGTTGGAGTGGACAGACCTCCTGAAGCTGGGCAGGGGCTGGGCTGAGGGGATGTACAAGTCCTGAAGAAACCCATCCCTTTGATATTTGTCAGCAGTCTTGGGAATGCTAGTCCTAGTCAAGCTCATTGGAACCACAAAACTCAAGGTGGTGGACACCCACAAATATTGACCATAAATCATACAAACCCACTGTGCATTAGACAAACAACTTAAGACTGTTGCCTAGTTGATTTTAGGTGCTTTAGATAGAATAAAATTATTGTTTTAAAAAGGAAGGGGGAACGTGTTGATCAGTGGGGACATTCTTTCACCACCCACTTGCCTTCCTAAACAGTAGAATAATGATAGACTGCAGGTAGTAGGTCCACAAAGTGTTTGGGAAACGTACTATTGTGAAATGCCCATTCAGAAGACAAAAGGTGTGGTGACATTCATGTTGCATGTGAGTAACAACCATCCTACTGTCAGGGACTGGTCAGGAAGCTGTGTGCTTTTCTCTCCATTTACTTTTATGCCTACAATGAAAGTCATATATGAATGACATATAAACTACCTGTAAAAATAAAATATCACCTAGCCTCTCTTTCTACAGCCAACATAGACATCGCAAGTTCTTTGTCATTCCCTTTGTCATGGATCAAGTCATTTAAGAAAGAAACAAAACTGGGTTGTAGCCAACGTAAGTTTTACTCAGAGGAGACCTGTTGAAATTAATGAGCCTAGGTTAGTCAGATCCATTAAATTCAATGGGCCTACTCTGAGTATGACTAACACCGGACATGATCTTCTGCTTCAAATGGCAACTGATGTCTTCAGAAACAAGCATAGGCCCCTTGCGAAAACGAGTCCAGAAAACTCATTGGGCATGTGTGACTGGGATTTCTGCTGCATCCACCACACTACAGCTGAAAATCTGCCAGCTTCAGGGACCGTTTTGTGATGTGGGGATTTTTTAAAAACAGCGGTCAAACATATTCCTACCATATCTGGAACAGCCACCTTCTCTATTGCTCTCTCATGGTCAAGCTTTCTTTAAAGTTGTCTACGGTGAGCCGAGAATTCAACTGAAATCTTGTACTGGAGACTATTTATCCAGTTTTCTCTTTTGACTTGTCTGAAGTTGTGAGGATTGTCAGATTTGCTTATTCAGAAGCCAAGAGCTTTGTCTGGTATGTGCCCTACATCTCGCAACTAAAAGCCGATATACTGGTGGGCTCAGCTGAATTTTGCATATTGTAATTCTATATTGGGTATCACAAGCACCAAGAATGTCTCAATGTACTATGTATTTTATCGTTTACTTCCCTTCTTAAGTGTAAAATAGTGGAGATAACACTTACGCCTTTATATGGCCCACTAAGCAACTATGAACAAACCTAAAATGTGTTTTACATTTTGACAGGTGATGTCGTTCTTGAAGCTTTGACTTTCTTGCCAATTTTTAATGGCAGACATGCACATAATATTATTAGATCTGGAACGGCTGCTTTCTCTATGGGTCCTATAACAATTTTTTTTTAAAGGTATGTATATTGCCAGAACAATAGGACAACTTCAAGAGCCATGACTTTTCTTTCCCTCAAATGTATTTCTCACTACCCCCTGTAACAGGTTGCCAGTTTTATGACAATAAGCAGAAATAAGATTCTTAAATTCAAATGGCACACCCTGCCTCCTCTGAAGCAGAATTTAGGGGAAGAGCCACAATTGTACTAAATGTGCTCATAGATTCAAGATAACCTGCTGAGGTGGGCCAAGTCATCGCTATCTGCAGTCATGGGCTGTCAGGTAAGTTTAACCCTTTCTTCCAATGCTATCGTCCCATCAAACCCACCCCCAACCCTGCTGCCCCCACCTAAAAGGAAAGCTACATTGGCTTTCTACATGGGATATATATTTTCTGATGTAAATAACGGGGGGGGGGGGGACTGTCAGGACTGCAGTGTACAGGGAAAAGTTAAACCCCACCCTGTGGTCCCGATTTTCCATAAACAGATTTGTTGTTGTTTTGAAAAAAGACAGATAATTAAATACAATCCCACACTTGCTGTATCAGCTAGTTTGGCCCTAAGAGAGGAGGGAGGGAGATAAACTAATGTCTACACTCTGAAGCTTAATATCAAGCACTTTTGGATAAAACTAAGAACAGACTGAGACTCACAGAGACCTGCCGCTCTCTGGGCACCAAGTCATCCAGTCACTGCAATCAGGAGAAGTCTGTCTCTCCCCCCCCCCTTTATTTTTCAAATTCAATGCCAAAGCGTCACAGACCACCAGAGATGTACAGTAAAGATACAGCTATCAAGTGTCACCTTCTGTTCTGGCTCCTTTTCAGCTATTAGTCTGAGCCTGCAACATTTACCTCCCACTGCCAGGGCCTCAAGGACCAAACCTAGCAATTAAGATGCTGCTAAAATGACACTGATTGCAGATTGCTGGTGTTTAAAGGAGGCTGTGGTGCCTGGTGCCATTAGGAGATTGGGTTTCCTGAAAGATGGAAGCAGGGACAGAAGACAGCAACAAAGAAACAGGAGAGAATCTCGCCATCATTTGGCCAAACTGCATGTATTTCTGAAAAAGAGGTGGGGGGGGGGGATACTGCCTTCAATCAACCCCCCTCCCCAAAGCAATCCATTAACAAGAGAGGAGAGGAAATGCTACCAGCAGCTGCTGGTTGCCGTGGTGACACAGTACGTAAGGCTGCTTTTTGCTAGGCTTCCCCCACATACATATTAAATGCACCAACCTGGCGCTGGAGGGAAGGACTTGCTCAACATTGCACTTCCCTCTCCCCCCTCCCCAAAAGCAAACCCACATTCTGGCTATTTTGAAGTCCTTTGTCATTTTGCAAACAAGCCCAGGTAACAAGGCAGGGACAAAGGGGCTGATTGACATCGCTGGCAGGAGGGGAGGAGTGTGGCAGTGGCATCAGTTTCATCCTACTCTCCCCGGCAGGTAGGCAATTCTCCCATCCTCGGTGCCATCATCAAAAGTGCACTGCCCCAGGAGAGATGTTGAACATGGAGGGATCAAACTTCTGGCCTCGGAACGGGGAGCCTTCAGCATCCCAGCCCTTCTTGAGCATCTCGTGGACTTTCTGAAATTAAGACAAGAGTCATGTCACGGTCGTGCAATATACAGAAACCCACCAACTTGATTAATCCTGATTTGCCGGTCAACGGAACAGTTGAATACAGTCCACTGACCGCAGCCAGGTATTATCAAATTATTCAGTGAAACCAAGAATGGCACGGTATAGCTGCCAGCTGCTCTTCCTTAAATTTCATTGCAGCACCATTTGTTAGCAAAGGCAGGAGAGATGGTTCCTTGCTCTGCAGATGGGTCAGAGGCCCATGTAGCAGCATAGCCAAGATTCCAAACAGGAACAGGGATATAAGCTTGGGAAAACTGGGCTTCTGCTTACTTAAAATCCCTTAAATATTTTATTTCTGTTTTAATTTATTTTCTTCTTCTCGGTTCTGTACCTGCAGGCTAACTCTGGTGTTCCACCATTAAGTAATCTTTGATTGCCATCACACAACTGTGCTAGGAATCCTTTTGCTCAGGTGTTCCAGGGAAAAAGCCAAAGAGATATCTACACTGATAAAAGCCTTGGCATTTACCGTATTGGCCTGAATATAAGCCTCACACCCCCCCCCCCCAATTCCAACTGTGAAAAGTTAAAGTGCAGCTTATATTAGCGACCTTACAGTATGCAACGCCCCCCCCCAAATCAATTTTAAAGGTTCAGCTTATATTCGGTCTGCGGCTTATATTCAGGCCAATACAGTATGTTCTAAATCTATCTAATTTCATAGTTCACAATGACAGTTAACCCATTTGAAACTAAATTGAAACTAAATCCTTCGAAGACAGAGGTCCTCTGGCTGGGTCAGGATGGTATGGTGATGAGGGACCAACTCCCTTCTCTTGCGGGGGCCCAATTAGTGCCATTGCCTTCCGTTAAGAGTTTGGGTGTAATCCTTGACGCCTCCCTTTCCATAGAGGCACAGGTTACAGCAACAGCCAAGGCAACATTTTTCCACCTTCGCCGCATCAAGCAGTTGGTCCCTTACCTTTCCCGCCCCGACCTGGCCACAGTGATCCATGCGACGGTCACCTCCAGGCTTGACTACTGTAATTCGCTCTACGCGGGGCTGCCCTTGAAGCTGTCCCAGAAACTCCAGCGGGTGCAGAATACTGCAGCGAAGCTCCTCACGGGGTCTCTGCCATGGGAGCATATTCACCCAGTGCTTTTCCAGCTGCACTGGCTCCCGGTGGAGTACAGGGTCAGATTTAAGGTGCTGGTTTTGACCTTTAAAGCCCTTCACGGCCTAGGACCCTCGTACCTACGGGACCGCCTCTCCCGGTATGCCCCACGGAGAGCCTCAAGATCCATAAATAGCAACACCCTAGAGGTCCCGGGCCCTAAGGAAGTTAGATTAGCTTCAACCAGAGCCAGGGCCTTTTCAACTCTGGCTCTGGCCTGGTGGAACACTCTGTCTCATGAGACCAGGGCCCTGCGGGATCTGATTTCTTTCCGCAGGGCCTGTAAGACAGAGTTGTTCCACCTGCCCTTTGGCTTAGAATCAGTTTGATTCTCTCCTCCTCTTTCTTTTTCCTTTCTCCTCCTGTGAAGAGGCTGCATCCTAATGTTTTAATGTTGTATATTAATCTTTTTTTAAATTGTATTTTAATCAGCTTGTTTTTATTATTGGCTGTTAGCCGCCCTGAGCCTGGTCTTGGCTGGGGAGGGCGGGGTATAAATAAAATTTATTTATTTATTTATTTATTTAGCTACAAAACCTGTTGGTAACCTGTTGATAATGTCTATCAAGCCAATGAACAACAAAATCTTAAATCCTAAAAATGCTTTAGAAATATTATAAACTTTTTTTGAAAATATTTGTGGAAGAGCATTTGCTTCGCATGCAGAAGGTGCCATCTTCAACCCCCAACACCTACAGGTAGGGATGGAGAGAGACATCTGCCTGAACCTCTGGAGACCCAATGCCAGTCAGTAAGCTAGAGACTGACCAACAGTCGCACTCAGTAGAAATCAAAGATATCTTGTTCAGTGTTGCAAAATCCTCTATTTTGATTTGCCATATTTAATATTCCATATTATTTTAATGACAGTTGAATGTTATTTTATTTGCATAGTGTAGATTGTATTATGCAAATTGTCTGATTTATATGATGTTAGCCGCTCTGAGCCCAGCTATGGCCGGGGAGGGCGGGATAAAAATAATTATTTAATTATTATTATTATTTAATTGTTATTAGTAGACAGATTCCTTATAAGCAACACAGACTTACTGAAGACTGCTACACCAAGGTTGGCAGAGTTCAGGCTTACAATATTCCTCCCCCCCCCCCCATAGAATTCTGAGGTTCACCAACCAGAAAGAGGTGCAAAAATAGGAGCAGAGAGAAGTACCAGATTTGGAACAGTAACTTGCTTCGGAAACAGCAACATACTGCACCCCATGAGCCATACAATGAAATAACCTGCATATATGAGAGTACAAATCTACACCAGAGTTACAACAGATCAGAAATGTTAATGCAGAAATCTTAAATTGGCCAACAGAGCTGTAACAAAGCCCATTTCAAAGACAACCAATTAATACTCATTTTACAGGCAATGAACACTGAGGCCTTTTAAAAATACAATTTTATTTGCCATTCAGAGTCAGAAACCCTTGCTGATCCAGACTGCAGTGGGTCCCAATCTATTTTCTGCCTACCTCCAAATAAGAAAGGCAAAAGCACATTTCAATAACTTTTTGTGTGCAAGTTCTCTGCTGGGGGCTTCCTTTTCTGTTTTTAGTTGAAAATTTTACGATTCCAGAAATGAACGCAGACAAATTAGAAGCACTCTTCTGACAGATTCCAGGCATGATTTCCCATCACATCCCAACATCCTTACAGAACTTAAAACTCAGACAGGGAGTCTTAGGGGAAGGAGTGACAGTTTTAAAAGCCAGACATTGTTTTCCAACTTAAGACAGATTTTGTGATTTGTGGAACTGTTTCTTCTCAGTAAATCCTCAAGACAGAAATATGCTGAAGGTTTTAGTGGAAATTTTTATCGAATTTTTATTTTCAAATTGTTTGATGCTGGTGAAGATGTTATGACATTTTGTATTTTATATTTGCTGCAAGCTGCCTTGAGCCTCATGAAACAGAGGGCACAGAAAATAGTATGCCAATTTAAGCATACAAACATGGATAAGGCTTTGGATGCTCACTCTAGATTGTGAAATCACACTGAGATGCTTCTTAAGTAGTGAAGAATAATAAAAATATCATAATCAACAACAACGAATAGCTCATTATGCAACAACAAACATACGTGTATTGGGAAGACCCTATTCTTGCAAAGACCTCCCTAATCACTGAGTTTAGCATAATGGATGATTGCTGCAAATGGTGCCTCCTTGGACGATAGATCAATATTGACAATTAATATAGCATTCCCCATTGTCATTCTGCATTTATGGAATTAATATTCGTTAGATATTCACAAGACTCAATAGCCTAGCTCATTTAGAGGGGCTATTAAAACTTTCTTTTTCAGCAGGCTTTTACATTCCAAGTGTGATGAGAGTCAAGTTTGGCTGGAATTATTCTCTTTGCTGTTAAAATAACACAGCTGATTTAGTCTGTATTTTTAATGCACATTATTTGATATTATGTGCTTTAATGCACATGATCTGATATTATAATATCTCTGAGTCCAATTTTTTGAATTCACCAAACTGAAAAGAAGGTTATAAGTAATCTTATAAATACAACAGTGTATCTTTTTGCATGTACAAATATAAAGCAAAATAAATAATAGAAACATAGAATTATAGAACTGTGGAGTTGAAAGGGACTCCGAGGGTCATCTAATCCAACCCCCTGCAATGCAGGAATCTCAACCACAGAACATCATACGTGACGACATCAATTGAAATGCCAAAGGTTTCAGCGTAGGAGAAATGAGCTTGCTCCATCTTCCGTGTGACAGCCCTAAAGATATCTGAAGATGGCTATCCTATGTCCTCTGAGTCTCCTCTTTTCCAGGCTAAACATACTCAATTCCTCAGCCGTTCTTCATAAGGCTTGGTTTCGAGACCCTTGATCATCCTGGTTTCCCTCCTCTGCACACATTCTAGCTTGCCAATATCCTTCTTAAATTGTGGTGTCCAGAACTGGACACAGTACTCCAGGTGTGGTCTGACCAAGGCAGAACAGAGTGGTACTATTACTTCCCTTGATCTGGACACCAAACTCTCGGGACGCTCCCCTTGATGTTACAGCCTAGAATCACATTTGATTTTTTTGCTGTTACATCACATTGTTGACTCATGTTAAGCTTGTGGTCTACTAAGACCCCTAGATCCTTTTCACATGTACTGCTTGCAATCCAGGTGTCCCCCACCTTATATTTGTGCAGTTGGTTCTTCCTGCCTAAATGTACAACCTTACATTCATCCCTACTGAAAATTATTTGTTAGCTTTGGCACAGTTCTCCAATTTGTTAAGGTCATTTTGAATCCTGATTCGGTCTTCAGCAGCATTGACTAACCTTCCGAGTTTGCTATCATCTACAAATTTGATGAGTATTCCCTCAATGCCTTCATCCAAATTGTTTATAAAGACGTTGAACAACAATGGGCCCAGGACAGAACCTTGCAGCACCCCACTTGTCACTTTTTTCCAAGATAATGAGGAACCATTAGAGAGCACTCTTTGAATTTGGTCAGTCAACCAGCTACAAATCCACTTAAGAGTTACCTCATCCAGTCCACATTTTACCAGCTTTCCTGATATCAATGTCAAGTTCACTGCTCGGTAGGATCTTCTCTTTCCCCCTCTTTGTAGATGAGGACAACTGCCTGCCTCCAGTTCACAGGGATCCACATCACCTGTTCTTCAGGAATTCTCAAAGATTATAGACAGAAGCTCTGAGATTACATCCACAATCTCCTTTAGCACCCCTGAGTGCAGTTCCCATACCACCTCTTTTCCTATGTTGGGTTTCAGCTCTCTCCCTGCATCCTTTATTCTGCTATCACCAGGTTAAGCACTGTTTCCTTTAAGGCAAGGACAAAGTAAGTGTTGAGCAGTTCTGTCTTCTCTCTGTCACCCAGTGGCATTTCTCCATCTTCTCCACACAAGGGACCCACCACTTGCTTGCTCTTGGCTTTGAACATAGCCAAATCAACCTTTTATGTTATTTTGCAATTTCATTCTGAGCTTTGGCCTGCCTGACCTTCTCCCTGCAATTGCTGGCAACTCATGTATACACTTCCTTCATGATTTGTCCTTCTATTTCTTATATATGCCCTTCTTACACCTCAGCTCATCTGCAAGCTATTTATGCAATCTTCCGCTTTCTTTTCTTGTTGGAATTATCTGTCTTTGTGCCTTCAAAATTTCACCTTTAAGAAATTCCCATCCATCTTGTGGACTCCTTTGACTATTTCTGATGAGAGTGCATGTCCAACTACACTTAGCTTTCCCTTGCCTGTGTATGATAATGAAAACCTGAGGGCATGATCACTTCCTCCCAAGGTTCCTTGTACTTTCACTTTGTCGATCAGTTCTTCCCTGCTGGTAAGGACCAGATCCAAGGGAGATGACCCCTTTGTTGCTTCTTTTACCTTTTGGGAAATGAAATTGTCAGTGAGACAACTGAGGAATTTGTTGGAGCTTACATTCTTGGAAAAGTCTGAGTTCCAACAGCTATTGGGGTAGTTGAAGTCTCCTATGACTACTATATCTCTTCTTTTTGAATGTTTGGTAATCTGCTCTAGAAAGGCATCATCCAGGTCCTCAGCAAACACCCACAGTAAGGTTGTTCCCTACAATTTTTACCCATATATTCTCAGGCTGCCTTCCACATTCCGAGTCATGCTGAGATCGAATGACCTGTTTAGAGCACAGCATTTAGGAGTGACATTTGGTACACTCTGGTATTATCATACAGATGACAAATCAAAGGAGTAAAAACACAGAGCTGGTTTTGCGCCGATCTGGATGCTTTCCATATTGCTCACAACCAAAGAGCGGAAAGTGGAGTTTTACTGCCATTAGCCCTGCACTCGGAAGATTACAGCAATAATCATTTGGCTAATGCCATAACACACCAGAGACACAGATGCATCTGGCAAGTCTCTCAGAGAAAGGTTATACATTAAATGTTCTACACCTAGATGCCGTTCTGAGCACTGAAAACAGTGGCATTAAAATCAGGTTTGCAAATGAGTCTAGAAAGGATAATTTTGTTAAAACTCGGAACGTCTCCCTGTTAAAACAGCCACCTAGATGATGTTCTTAACTGGAACTCCCCTAGTAAAAAGAAGCAGAAATCAGGCAAGTGGTTATTTACAAAATTGATTTTGCTTACTACATACAAGTCCTACTTAGGATATTTGCTCCTGTATTATATCTGCCATAAAGGAAGATTTTCTGGAACTGGATCACAGAAATTCCCAGGAACTATTTCACACAAGTAGAATTTGGCATTGTGTTTTTTATTCTTTCTTCCCCTCAAGCTGTGGGAGGAGCCCCATGTTACCTACAATGGAAGTGGGGGAACTGTCCTCTCCTTGAAGGACTATGCAAAGTTACCCATTGTGATTTGAAGCCTGAGCTATGGCAGAACCAAAGTACCACAATGATCCAAACAGTCTACCTACTGCATGCAGCACATTAAGAGAAGCAAAGAACTGCATGGTCAGCAAATCAAACAATTTCCTAATTAAGAAACATACCATCTCATGGCTCTGTGGCTTTCCCTGCAGCTTTTGGTGGTAGTCAAAGGATAGCCTGTCCAGCACAGCATGCTCTTCTTCATCCACCGTAGCCATTGAACGTTCTTTATTGATTTTACCAATGTCAATCTGCTCTTCTCCTTCCAAGATGGCACTCCACCAGTATTCACCTACTTTGCTCAGGTTAATCTGGGAACAAAAAAAGAAGCAGCTGTAGTTCAGAGCTAGACAATCAGCAGCAGCCGGACCTGGTCTAGAGAAATATGTCACAGAATCATAGAATTGTAGATTTGGAAGGGAGCACAGGGGTCATCCAGTCCAACCCTCTGCTATAGAGGAATCTTTTGCCCAATGTGGGGCTCGAACCCCCCAACCCAGAGATCTCACCCTTTGAGTCTCATGCTCTACCAACTGAGCTATCTGTCCTGAGAGCCATGGCTATGTTACTTAGAGATCTTAAAGGAACAGACCAAAAGAATAACCAGAGTTCTGAGGAAAACTCCAAATGCAGGGACACAAATCCCTGTGCCAGAACAGAATTCAGCTGCACCTGCCATTCTAACAAGGATCTAGAAGAAATAACTTATATTATCATCATTTATCCTTTGCCAGAATAGGATACATTTATCACACATTTGGAAACTAATTTCCCAAAAACTTTGCACATTGACCTCCTCCCTGCTTAAACTATCACGACCATTTCTAACAAATGTGACACCAAGATTATTCCATTTCTTCCCAAAGGGCCTCAGCTGAGAAACAGTCTGTTTTATATGGATAAAGGTGAGTAATAATAGTTAAAAATTTACGCTGCTTTATTAGCGCTTATTAGACTACTCCGTGATCACTGAAGAGCTCCGTTGTGAAAGCCAGAGGAAGTGTTCAAAATTATTCCGCATACTCCAGTTTTAACTGTTGTAGACGTGTGCCGTGAAATCCTAAGGATGTATACTTTGAAGTATGATCGGTCGTATTCAGTGAGTTTTACGCACAGATTAAGAGAACGCAAGACTGGAGCCTTTGGACAGAGTTCATTACCATACCCTACATCGCTTATTACGCATCACTTTGTATAAGCTCGGTAAAGTTACTAGCCTGCAAAAAATTGCACTAGGCTGTAAGGTTCACAGCAAAAGGGGAGCAGCCAGCACAGAAACACTAGCTAATTTAAAAATGCCTTCTATCAAGCGGACTGGCAGAGGAGTAACAGAGCAAGCCATTTCTCCCTCTGCCAGTCTGCTGTGCTTCTGCACTCGTCACAGAGGAACAGGAATACCATCTTCTACGGTTAGCATGGCAACCAAGTGGGCTGGCAGATCATACCCTCCTCTACCACCCACCCACTTGCCTGTATGGAATTCCTGGTCACTTCTGGCTACTAGGCAAGTTGTTAAATACAAGGCTGTGTGGGCATGAGAATAGGTATCGGAATTACATGGTGCCTCTATCGCACTTTACAATGGATCACTGTATTCCTTACTTCAATAGACATCATGTGTGTTACTGTGCTAGTACTGAACATCCAGAATTTCCAAGGGAATGAATGAATCATAGAATTGCAGAGTTGGAAGGCACCCTGAGGGTATTTTATTTTATTTTATTTTATTTTATTTTATTTTATTTTATTTCTATTCCACCCTATACCCAAAGGTCTCAGGGCGGTTCACATAAAGGATCACATACATAAAATCAAAATATAACAACAATCCAGTAACACACCCCCCCTAAAAAGCCAGCATTTTAAAAAGGGTATAGGATGTAGATCAGGTCAGGTAAAGGCCTGTTTAAAAAGGAACATTTTTGCCTGGTTCCTAAAGGTGTACAACGAACTTCCCTAGGGAGAGCATTCCACAGACGGGGAACCACTGCAGAGAAGGCCCGTTCTCATGTTGCCACCCTCCTGACCTCTCAAGGAGGAGGCACACGAATAAGGGCCTCAGAAGATGATCTCAGGGTCCGGATAGGTTCATATGGGAAGAGGCAGCTCTTGAGGTATTGTGGTCCTGAGGCATTTAAGGCTTTATAGGTCAAAACCATCACTCTGAATTGGGCCTGGAAACTAAATGGTAGCCAGTGCAGTTGCACCAGAATTGGCGTCATATGCTCAAACCGTCTTGCTTCGGTGAGCAACCTGGTTGCTGAATTCTGCACCAGCTGAAGTTTCTGAACCATCTTCAGAGGCAGCCCTACGTTTAACGCATTACAGTAATCTAACCTTGAGGTTACCAGAGCATAGACAACAATAATTAGTCTATCCCTGTCCAGACAGGGGCGTAGCTGGGCCACCAACCGAAGCTGATGGAAGGTACTCTGGGCCACTGAGGCCACCTGGCCTCAAGCGACAGCAAAGGATCCAGGAGGACCCCCAAACTATGAACCTGCTCCTTCAGGGGCAGCATAGCCCCATCAAGAGCAGGCGACCTCCCAGCCGTCTGGTCTGAGGAACCACCCACTAACAGTGCCTCCGTCTTATCTGGACTGAGATTCAGTTGTTGGCTCTCATCCAGTCCATTATCGAGACAAGACACCATTGGTCCAGCACTTCCACCGCCTCACCTGCAGATGTAAAGGAGAAATAGAGCTAAGTGTCATCAGCATACTGCCCACAACGCACTCCAGATAACTCCACCCAGCAGTTTCATGTAGATGTTAAACAACATGGGGGATAGAATTGAGACCTGCGGAACCCCACATTGGAGGTTCCATGGGGCTGAAAAGCATTCTCCAAGCAACACCCTCTGCAATGCAGGAATCTCAACTGAATCATAATATAATGCATATCATGCTTGCAAGGAAACATGCTCAAAAGGACATTTCAGCGCACCAAGAGGGCAGTGCTATCCTCCTATGCCCTTAAAGGGGGGGGGTAATTTCTCATTTCATTTCACCAAATTACTCTGCAAGCACAGCTTTGGGGTGGTTTCAACACCTGAGTTTCAGCTGTGTTATTGCCTCATCTGATCCATATAGCCAATGGGGCAACAGCAAGGCAGGTTGGCAAGAGCAGACATCACCATCTCTAGAGTGACGCCTGTGTGCCAGCAAGTCGGCTTCAATTTCAGCACTAAACAAAGCACAAAGCATGTAAAATCTCTCACAGGACTATCTCAATGTACCCACCATACGCAACATGACAGGAAGCACCCCATCCGAATTGGTATCGCTAATCCTCCCTTCCAGAGACACAATCCAAGCACATTGATTGGCTATGAGTGACATCATGCCCAGTTTTGTATAGCCTAAAAATTCAAGGGCCTGATTAATTTGCAGAGATAATATATAGCCATAAGTTATGGTGGCAAGAGGCCAAGCTTTTCAGCTATTACTGAACTACGCTTGGATACAGCCAATTGGCTTTTGGCTTCAGTCAGTAACATAATCCTCCTCTTATCTGGGCCAATATCACAGAGCTGGAAAAAAGGTACAGGAAAAAGCAACTAAACCAAAATCTATTGGGATGCATCCCCTTCTCTATGAAGAAAAGTTAAAGCCTTTGGTGCTATTTAATTTAGTCTGGGGGGTGGGGATAAGATCAAGGTTGGCATAAGATGTTTCTACACACACACACTCTCTCTCCCCCCTTCTTCTTCTTCTTCTTCTTCTATCACTTGAAGCCAAGTAAGATTGTCTTCCATGAACACGTTTTTGGGTTTGGGATGGGTTTTTGGAAGACGCCTGTGCGTGAATTTGTTTTATGCGTGTAGATCAGTGCACACTGACCAACGCACAGTCTTCACAGTAAGGCTCTATTCCAATGGGATGAGTATCACGGCAACCGGTAAATTCTTATCTGAAGCCTTCATCTTTCTTCAAAGCATTGTAACATACCGCTTGTTATCTTCCACCTGTTCTGCCATTGAGGACTTCTTGGATCATTCTTTGTCTAGCTCCTCCCCTTTGACCTTACCGCCTTGGGTGACCCTGCTGGGAGTACGAGACTCCCGATGGCTTCGCTCACAAGGGTCATAGGAACATGCAAGCCCACTCACCACAACAAGGTGATGATCCTGTGAGTGAGACACACACACACAAGCGTGCACACACACACACACACACACACACACACACTCTATATGAGCTGTGTGGAAAGTAACTTCTCCTTGTCTCATTCTACTAGGGAGCACCCAGTAAAGATAATTTGCAGAAGGTGAAAGCAATTCGTTTCCTAACACATAGCTTGTGGGATCCATGGTCTTTCCATAAAGGACAATTGACAGATATGGCAGCTAATAGAACCTCCACATTCAGGGGAAGTATTGATGCTGGGTATCAGATGCTTTCCTGATGTGCATCCTACTATTGTGCAGGGAGGAGAAGGAATCTGGCTGGATTAGGCAACCTTTGGGGCAGGATCCAGCAGAGCAGTCTCTGAAGTACATTGATTGGGAAATTAATATAATCTCGGCTAACTCTTGGTGGTGCAGTGCTTTGCACCAACCAAGAGAGGCACTTCACACTTTGAAGAAAAAAAAAAAAAGCTATTGCACCAAAGCCCTGCAAGTTTCTTCCAAAGTGCGCAGGAGTGGGCGGGAACAAGGCTGAAACGGGTTACACTTTTAGCTGCCACCCCAGCTTGACGGGGCTGCATGGCCTGGGTGCACTTGGAGATGCAAGAATCTGTTCCATGACAACAAAGAAAAAGTAGCTTCGGAGAGACAGTCTGGCAGGAAGAGAAAGCTGCTCTTTGCGAGGCTGCCGGGGAGAGAAGCAAAAAAGGTCATAAATTCCATATGCTGCAAGGAGAAGGTGAAACGAAGAGGCGAGTCACATATTCACTTAAACAACTTGTTTGTCGGCGGGGTGTGGAGAGACAGGATGCACCACAACAGCCCAGACGAAGAGAGCTTCATCTGCGGTAAAGCAATCACACCAGCATGGTATTTCTAAGAAAAGTTTGCATAAGGCGCTGGGAGGGAAAAGGTCCATCTGAGGAAGATTGTGGGAGGACTCTTTGCCTTGGGAACTGAAGCTGCAAAAAGGAGGGCGTTCCAAGGGGAAGTTGTTGCTTTTCTCAGAGGAACCCCAAAACATAAGATAAAATACTTCCCAAAATTGCTATTGTTTTTGAGATTGCTGTGGTTCTAACCTGCAACATACACCTCTCCTTAAAGATCTTCAGGAACTCCATAGAATGATGAGGATTGCAATGTCTTTCCGTATATGCATGATGCAGCCGCATTTGTAATATTATTTGTTCAGATTGATACTCTTTCAGATTGAAAGAATTGTAGAGATGGGGTGGTTTAGCTGTAGCCCTCCAGCTGTTGCTGGACCACGCAGCATGGCCAATGGTTAAAGACAACAAAAGCTGTAGCCCAGCAGAATCTGGAGGGCCACAGGAAAGCCACCACTGGAAGTGCCAGGAAAGGAAGACCAAAATGAGCAACAGTTTGGAGTGCCTTTGGGGGACACGATCGAGGTTTATGAAATTATACATAGTATGGAGAAAGTGGGTTGGGAGAAGCTTTTATACCTCTCTTTCTCTCTCCCAACGCTTGAAACCCAATGAAACTGATTGGTAGGCGATTCAGGACATACAAAAGGAAGTACAGTGGTACCTTGGGTTACATATGCTTCAGGTTACATACGCTTCAGGTTACACACTCCACTAACCCAGTAATAGTGCTTCAGGTTAAGAACTTTGCTTCAGGATAAGAACAGAAATCGGGCTCCGGCGGCACGGCGGCAGCAGGAGGCCCCATTAGCTAAAGTGGTGCTTCAGGTTAAGAACAGTTTCAGGTTAAGAACGGACCTCCGGAACAAACTAAGTACTTAACCCGACGTACCACTGTACTTCATTACACAAAGTCGAACTCATTTTTGGAATTCACATTGGCTCAGAATAGTACACAATGTAGTGATGACACTGGCTCAGAATGCTTTAAAAGGGGTTCAAGACCCCCTTCCACTGATTTCAATGACATAGGCAATTATTTTCCAAAACCCAGAATCCATGCAATAAAAGAAACCATGTCCAACTCAAGCAAGGGTTACTGCCACGACACATTTGACCTTTGCATCCCCATGAATTTATACCCTTCTTGCCCACACGTTTACAGGTCAATTCCGCACCTAGAGTCTAAATGTAATTTGAAGGAGCCCTAGGCGATTTTACTTTCTCTTGAAATTTTACAACAGTCCCAAAACACACATAAAACAGAGCACTTGAAAATGTTCAATAGCTGAACCGCTAATAATGTTAGGAGGATGGTTGAAAACAAAAGTTGGCAATGCGGCACTGTGAAAAAGTTAGGGTTGTGCTGTCACCATTCCAACCAAATAACGTACCATCCCATCTGTAGCACAAGATGGCTCGGTACAAACCGTGGTTTGGCACTATGTGAACATGCCTTATGCTTGCATGCTCCCCCTGCTTCTCCTCTTGTGTGTTCCAATTCAATTAAGCAACTTCATCTTTCAGTCATCTAGAAGTGGGATCTTAAAACTGACAAGTTATTTTCGATCACCTGAAGATAAAACCTAACTTTCAGCATTTGCATGCCCTCCAGCCACTATATAGTATTATCCAATTTGGCATTTAGAACACCACTGAAAATTAATCTCCAGGTTTGCTAATATGAAGGCTATCAGCCTTCTCTTTACGTCAGCAATCTGCCTCGCCAGAGATCTGTGTGTTCTCAATTGTACTAGAGACAGATCAAAGTAACTGCTAGGTTTTGTATTTTTCAAAATATGTGGGAACAGCCATTGTTCCTTTGTCCCAGCAGCCTCTGCATCCTAAAATCAGTTTACACCATGAGATTACCCTGCCCTGCTGCAATCTTTGAGATTTTTTTTCTTCTGAAGTGCATACTACAGTTTGCCATTATATATAAACTGGAAAGCTATAGATCACCTGCAAATTAGGACTAGTTCATGCTAAAGAGAAGGGGAGTAGGTCTATTGGGAACACTCAAAGGGGAGAGGGAAGTGACTGAGCCTAGAGCACATTCTTCTGATAACATGGGTTTGAATTCTGAAAAAGTAATCTGGATAGCAACCTTTACTTCCTCACAGCTCTTCTCTCAAATCATGCACTTCTATAAATACTATGAACTTGCATAAGGTTTTTATTCAAAAGATGTTGCCCGTAATAATCTTGTCAAATCACTCCTCTCAAAGCAAATATATATATAGTGCAAAGGATGTATTCTTTAGATAATTTCCAAAAGAGGACAATAAACGTGGCATATTATGCACGAACATTTGGAAAGTTTTCAAATTAAATTTTTCCTAAATCAATTTTTTACTCAGCTGTTATCAGGCAGCGTTCAAATGCTCAACACTATAGCTGATATTGGGGTTCCTCCCCCCAAATTGAGATGCTGCTGCCATTGTAGCATTAGGTGGGTTGAGTCTATTTGAACCTGTGAAATGGTTTATTGAACTGAGCCATTGGGACATTTATAACTTTTATTCTTGTAGGAGGTTGCGATGACCAATATGCTATGATGCTCTTTGTCAGTTGTATAGTTCTGTTGACCTAAAACTGAATAAAACATTTATATATATTTTTAAAAAAAGATGGAGAGAGGTTTTTCACATACATTCTAACCAAGCAGGTTTTTCCCGAGAGCTTGGAAAGGGGAGAAACAAAAGTGTTGTGCCCAACACCCAGCACTGGTTGCTAAAAAAAGCTCCTGTGAATCTATTTTGGTCACACTCTTTGACACACTAACTAGCGTAATGGAGAAGGGTCACACACAAAATTATTATTTACAGGACCAGAAGTTTGGAGAAGTTCCTTGTTCTCCCTTGGTCTTGGTTCTTGAAGCACAGTACTTCCTTTAAATAATTCTGAAAATGCAGTTTCCTCTTAAGTCTGCAATACTTCCTTCCTGTCTAACAAGGTTTTCATTCTGTCAGAAAACAACACCTAGTCTACTTTGGGGAAGGAAGGAAGGAAGGAAGGAAGGCAGGCCTCACTGCATCTATGACAACCAGTTCCATGATATATGTTGCTAGAGCCCCCAAACTCTAAACTGATTGTGAAGCCAATAAGAGAACAAATTTGCAACTGCTGATGGAGTTTTTCCTCTGCCTCCTACTATTCAGTTACTCAGTCATCCTCTATACAAAGAGGTCCAAATGCCAACACACTTATTAATTAGCAGATCCAATTAAAATCAGGCATGTGAGTATTTTGATTATCCATAAGGCTACTTGGGAGCATGGATTCTATAATTTAACATCTTGAGTCTCTTGAACCCAGGAGGGGGGGGGGTCAACAACAGTTGGATTGTCCACTCTCCCATCACATGAGACAGACAGACACCTTCTCCTACTGGAAATCTCCCAGTCATCTTTTTGGATAATGCAATATCAAACCTAAAGATGATGAAGTTAACCACCAATCATTGCAAAAGATGGTAAGTCCTCTAAGCTGGTCCTAGGGCTGGATCAAATGACAGCTGAGTCAGGGTAAGATAAAAGCAGTAGGCTGAGTGGGTTTAAGGCATTAAAAGATGCTGCTTCTCTAGAATTCTGGAATTCTTACTGACATTAGCAACAGCTCCCTGAAGGAACTAACAAGCATTAGTCACTTGATTTAAACCACACAAGCAATGGTCTTAGGATGTTTTCAGCAGTGTTGACATTTTGCCACTGCTTTATACCATGGGATACAGTTCATAAGGTATCCAAATACATTTTTGGGAGTCACAGAAATACATGGATATTATGGTAACACCATATGTTCACAAAGGTTTTTGTTTTTTTACTACATTTCTTATTTCCAATCCCGGCAAGCAATCAGAAAAGTGAACAATCAAAATTTGAAGCCAACGCCTGTGTACTTGCCTATCATCCTAGAGGTATCATTTGCAAATTAAACGCGTGGGCAGACACACACTCGGCGGCAAAACACAACACTACCAGCACATTACAAGAATGCCTGAACAGCTACCAATAGTAAATAGATGACATCACTGAACACTGGAGGATAGCTTGCCAATGCACTGCTGCAAGCTAAATATAATTATATGAAATCCCCTCCCCAAACTAATCCGCAGTTTTTGGTTGAAATCCTTTCAACTCATTTAGGACAAATTCACTGTCCACACTGTTGTATATCCGCATCTGATAAGTGGAATGAAACGCAACACTTTAAAGGTAGGCAGTAAACTTGGCTCACAATAGTGCTATTCCAGAATCATGAGAGTTCACAAGAATATGTTCCTTATATGTCAGTGCAGACCAGTACCTGCAACTAATCTAAGTCACCTGAAACCACACTGAGAATGGAAAAGGTTAAATCCAGATCTGGAGAGATGGCAGGACAGGGCCTGCAAGGACCAATGCTGGGGCCTCCATCACACCGAAAATGCGATAACGGGCAAAGACCTTCATTTGAGCAGCATGTGAAATCAAGTGCCACTTGGCTAAGGCCTCAGCAATTGCCTAATTATCACTTCAAAAAAAGAGCTTGCAGCAGCAGATCAGGATTGCTGCAGCACCTGTCATTAGCACCAACTATTGCTCATTAAACCCAAATTTCTTAACTTAGCCGAGCCATGCAATTTTTTTTCTTCTGCAACAATTTTCAGTAGATACCTGCAACATGCCCCCCCCAAAGCCCACCATTTTCTCCTCTGATGTTTAAAGGTAAAGGTAAAGGGACCCCTGACCATTAGGTCCAGTCGTGGCCGACTCTGGGATTGCGGCGCTCATTTCGCTTTACTGGCCGAGGGAGCCGGCGTACAGTTTCCGGGTCATGCGGCCAGCATGACTAAGCCGCTTCTGGCGAACCAGAGCAGCGCACGGAAATGCCGTTTACCTTCCCACCAGAGCGGTACCTATTTATCTACTTGCACTTTGATGTGCTTTCGAACTGCTAGGTTGGCAGGAGCAGGGACCAAGCAACGGGAGCTCACCCCGTCGTGGGGATTCGAACCGCCGACCTTCTGATCGGCAAGCCCTAGGCTCTGTGGTTTAACCCACAGTGCCACCCACGTCCCTCCCCTGATGTTTAGGAGCACACAATCAAGACACTGCACTAGAGTTTAGAAGAAATCCCAGACCCAAGGGAGGCTGAACCAAAAATGAGTCAGCTCTTTCTTCCTTGCCACCTTCATGTCTGGAACTCCCACAACACCTTCTTGTTGGCACCTCCATCTCTCTCCCGCTTCAAATCCCTCCTAGTTCTCCCCTTGGTTCTCATCACCTCCTGAAACTAAGCCCAAGGACATGGAATTGAAAGGAGGTTCTTCATCTGTTTGGTGTCGCATCTTTCTTTCTAGCCTTCCATGTAAGCGCCTAAGGGCAGGGATCTGTCTTTTTTTTTACTCTGTAGCACAAACAAGAATGCTGCTGCATTTTTATATATAAGAAACTGCCATGGACTCAGGTTTTATGTGGAAGCCACAAGCCTAGAGCAATTGTTGCAAATATGGGCTAAAAAACTGCCTTGTAGGAAAACCTTGTAACGAAAGTTTGCATGGAGAAGATCCCAGTTCCAATCAATGGCACCTCCAGACAGGTCTGGAAAGATTCCTGTATGAAACCTTAGAGAGTTGTGTAAGACAATGCTGAGCAAGAGAGACCAGTGGCCTCATTTGGGATCGTGCAGCTTCTTACATAGCAAGGTTTACCTAAGCCCAAGGAGATACGTTTCTGTGTACCGCAAACAAAAAATATCCGTTCTGATACTCCTCTATTTCTGACCATCTGTGCACTAAACCAGGAGATTTTATGTTATTGTTTACTGTATTTTGACCCCACCATTTCTCCTAGTAGCTCAGGTTAGCAGACACAGATCCCCACCTGAGGTTCCCCAATGAGCTTCATGGGCTTTAAAGGGAGATGAAAGTAAAGATAGGAACTAACAATAAGGTCAAGTGCAGAATAAGGGCTGAAGTAAGAAGCAGAAGGAAGCATACAGCCTAAAGTTAGAGCAACAGCAATCCTCAAGTTAAACAGATTGGGGCCCGATCAGTGTACTGACGTCCATGCAAGAAAAGCAGTACAGCACATGCAAAATAGTAAGTGGATGGAGTGATCTTCTGGTGCAGCTAATTCGGTAGCTCTGTAGCAGAGCTAAGGAAGCAATGTCTCTGTTCCAGCCTTCAAGAAGAACTCTTGGCATTCCCAAATCAACCCAGAAGCAACCAAAGCTCAGAGACTTTCAAGGGGGAAGCAGACATGTACCGAGAACACACATGCACAGTGAAAAGGAGAAGTTGTGCTTACGAGGATACACTTTCCTGGTTCCAGACTCCAGACAGAGTTCTCTGTGTTGATCTTGTGAGTGAGGGTGCCTTCCATGAGCACACGTGGCCCACTTCCCTCCACCACAGCCACGCAAATTGAACTACTACCGATGTTCACAGAAACCTGGAGGGAGGAAAAACAATAGATAAGAAAATTAGAAAGGTAATTTCACCCTTTGTTGCTCCTTCCAGATGACCTGAATGGAATTACAATGCGGGACAAACAGTGAGGTTTACAGTAAAAGGTAAAAGTACCCCTGACCGTTAGGTCCAGTTGCGGACGACTCTGGGGGTTGCAGCGCTCATCTCGCTCTATAGGTCGAGGGAGCCGGCGTTTGTCCACAGACAGCTTCCGGGTCATGTGGCCAGCAGGACTAAGCCGCTTCTGGCGAACCAGAGCAGCACACAGAAACGCCGTTTACTTTCCCGCCAGAGCGGTACCTATTTATCTACTTGCACTTTGACGTGCTTTTGAACTGCTAGGTGGGCAGGAGCTGGGACCGAGCAACAGGAGCTCACCCCTGTTCGAATCGAGGGGATTCGAATGCTGACCTTCTGATCAGCAAGCCCTAGGCTCTGTGGTTTAGACCACAGTGCCACCCATGTCCCGGAGGTTTACAGTGAGTAACTTAAAATATCTCTTATCGTTTGTTATCTTGCCTTTCGTTTTTACTATAAAGGGCCCAGGGCCACTTAAAAAGACAAAACACAACACAGGTTTTGTTTTAAAAAGAACAATGATGGCATAGTGAGAGACTAGGACTAAGAAGACCCTCTCAGATAAGGAAAGCTATAATTAAGCTGTCATTTCCACCATTATTCCAAGGTATAGAGGCTTACTAAAGTAACCCTGATCATTCTAAGGGATCGAGACAAAAATAATTTCTATACATTAAAAGAACTCTTTAACATATCCTAGTGGAATTCCTTCAGTTAACAACAAACAAAACAGAGTGTAAATTATGGGGGAAAGCCTGCAAAGCTTTCTTTCACTCATATAGACATCGGGTCCAGAGGTTCTATGATCAGTACCATGATTGTGTACAATTGTCATGATGAACAGTGGTGACTGTCATATGGAAAATCCAGCAAGATATGTGGGGCAGGTGACTTGCCGCTTGTCAAGGGAGGCAAGGGCAATAAAGTACTGCTATATATTTGGTCTTCCTAGTCCTATATTTGGGAACATGGTGATGTGTGGTGAGGAAAGAAACTGACTCTCATATATGGTCTTCATATTGAAAACTAAAAAACCCTACCCACCCCCCTAAAAATCAAAGTCCTTAAAAGCATGAGAGTTTGCAATAGATATGCTTGCATGTTTTTGAAGACTTTATTCAGAGTTTGGATCTCACTTGAAATGTTCATGTGCTATCATTGTTTAGGTAACTTTTAGTGACTCATCTTCTCAGAGTAAGAAGTAAACAGAGATGGAGACTGCTTCAGTAAGTAACTGTGTCGCAACTGCATTTGAAAGATGGAAAGAACTAAAAATAAAATGGGACACTTTTGAGAGATAATTGTCTAGAGCAGACTATCGAGTCTTAGAAGAGATGAATACCTTGTGCAGCAAGCCAGGAATGGAAAAGTAGGTTACTAATCCAGAACTTAGAAGAAATATGTATACTAAAAAGGGTTGTGTGTGCCTGCAAAGGAATGTCAGAAGGAGCTGCTTATCTTGCAACAATTTAGTCTATTTTTAGAAAATGTAGTATTAAAAGAAGCACTAACAAAAAACCAAAACATAAGTCATGAGGATAATCTTAGAAGAAAGCCCTGGGGAAATGGGAGGAGGAAAAGATGATGAAAGGAAAATGAGCTATAGGGCAGAATTTATCATTATACTGTAATGTGCTTTGCTTTTGGGACCCGATTTTTGCTTTATTGGCACTGTCATGAGCATAGTTCCTTCCAGAAAGACAGTTGAAAATATTTGAGGACCATTACTTATGCAGAATGAAGAAGCAGCAATGAAGCCCCACTCTGACCACAGGAAGTTCTGTTTATCAGAACCCCAACTTATGTTTAGCAGAACCCCAACTTTACCTTCCAGTGACCACAGTTCTTCTCCTGACCTAGTAAGGACTAAACCTTTTGTAAATGCATAGAATATGGACAACCCTGCAACTGTATTGGACCAAATAACATAGCCTTTTCATCAGATTGGCTGGTCACAAAGAATTCTGATCACTGGACTGGACAGACTGCACAGCTTGCTTGTATGCTGTGCATGACACTGTTGTTGCAGGCCAGGTTTTCACAATCAAAATAAAGTTCCTTGCTTCATTTATCAACAAACAGCAATAGTGGACTTATAAAAGTGTTATAAACAGGACACACTGCTATTATGCTATGATTTACACTTTTTCGTGCACTACTGAGACTATGTATACTATGAAAATGAGGAGCCCAGGGTTCCAACAAATTAACCTTGACAGTGAAAAGGATTAAAAAAGGGTGCAGATTTGACACACACAGAGCTCAATAGTTGTAACAGCATTTCTTCAGCTGGGCAATTAAGTGCTGAGCAGGCACACAGGGGGAAGGAGAACGCAGTTATAGTCCTTTCTAGCCCCCTCACAAATGAATGCCATTCACAATGCACATCTGGAGGAGGGAAGTAAACCCTATTGTGTTTCATAAAAGCAGAACAAAGATTAAAACTTGAGATTTTGGTTCAGCTATAGTTATCACTCCAGTTGTAACCCACAAGTACGGCACATTTGAAGATGTGCTGTAGCTGTGCAGGAGGCAGTGCATTTTCAAAATGTAGAATCAGATGTTGAAGCTTCAGTTAAGAGAATGTCACAGGCCTTAGAGAGCTCAGAAATTAAACCCAACACTGACTTGGCTTTCAACCTCAATTGCTTCTCGCAGAAATGTACCCACAAACGCCCACTGAAAGCATAGAAACAAGTCAACAAAATACTCTCCCCAAAATGAGAAGTGTGTGTGTGTGTTGTAAGCAAGAGAACTATTTTCTTCTACTTTCAAGCTTTCAGTGAACAAATCAGAAACTGAGATGACAGGATAGGGTTAAAATAACAAAGGAAACCCCATTCCCTGTTCTTTTTGTTCTGTTGCACTTTATATAAGGTAAACATAGCATTAAAAACACCAAATCAAAGGGCCAACAATGATTGAAATAAAAGCATGTTCAATCAATTTAGGTTTGTATATTAATAAAAAGAACAGTGCTAAGCTAGTTCTGTTTTCTGATTACAAAGATTAGCCTTCCTTCAGTGAAACTGGGTTGCTGTATGGCAGATGGATTCATATTCAGGAACACAAAATAAAATGAGATTGAAAATAACATGAAGTGACTACATCAGTTATCAAACTGTGGCTTTCAGGGACAGTAAGCGTACTCACTGCTCATGCTAGGCTGCTCATTAAAATAAAATAAAAAAGGACTGAGGGTGAAAAATAGAACCACAAGCTCTCTATGATTTATTGCTGCCCCCTTTTCTACAAGCTAACTGAACCCTCGCCGTTCCTGCCTAGGTCCCTCTGGGCTCTTTAAAGAAAATCATTCTTCATATAATGCATAAGTAATTTATGGAGTTTTCTGCCACAAAATATGACCGTGGTCAATGGCTTGCATTGCTTTCAATGCAAATTTATAGCGGACAGGCCCTATCAAGAGCTATTGGCAAGGACAGCTTAATAAAGCCTACATATTCAGAGGCAGTCTGACACCAGATGAGGGACAAACAGCGGAGTGTGTAAGCATCCAGCTGGCCATTGTGAGAAACGTTATCCTGGTGTAGATCAATCTAACCCCGGAGGGCTCCTCCCTATGTTTTTCAGCGAATAATAAGATGTCTTGGTTCACACACAATGCTAAGCCACAGTTTAGTGTTATATGCATGGGTACGGGGTTCATCCACTCCCCCTTCTGTTATCCTCCACCCGCTGAACTGCAAGGAGATTGGAAACTTTTGCTTCTGCTTTCAGCTAATTTATTCATTAGGTCCCGAGAACTGTGGTTTGTGATAAATATGGTTTAGGAAACTAGCCAGGATCATTAACTACAGTGTGATGTATGGTTTTGCTTCCCTAAACCATAGTTAACGCTAATCACAGTTTGTCCAGGTTTGGATATAAATGAGCAACCATAGGCAGTGAAAAGCAGAAATAAAATTTTCAATTCCCTCCTTGCGGCAACTCCAAAGGAGTGGGGAAGGAAGGGAACACAAGACTGATGCTTGCTATTGCTCGTGCACATACAACTGAATCATGGTTTAGTGTACCATGTGAACACGCCCAATGTGTTTGTATTTAATGTCATGCAAGAACAGGAGGTTGGGAGAGAAGAAAGAATACTGCAGATTGATCCCACGCAAGGATTTAAACAGAGGAAAATGCAAATAAACTAGCCATGAGCATGGCAAGTTCACAGCAGGAAGGGAAGTTTGTGCTTTATTGCACCCCCTGCCACGCTTCAACATCTAGGCCGACATTCTGAAATTTTGCTTTGTCGTAAGGATGATAAATAAATTGCATTTTGGGCATGCATATCTGTGGTATGATAAGGTCAAAGCACATAAAGCATTCAAGAATCATATTGTCAGGAAAGCATTGTTTAATGTATGGATAAGATACAAGGATTTATTGGAAAATAAAACCCCAAGGTGGCTGTCACCGATGGAAGCGAAAGCTCTGAAAAGGCTCAATATTGAGGCCAAATGGCCAAAATATTGGGAAATTTTGGAACAAGATGGAGATAGACTGAAATTACAGAGTTTTGAAAAATTAAAAAATAAAGTGCGAGACTGGCTTCATTATTATCAGATAATGGAGGCATATAATTTGGACAAGAAAATTGGCTTCCAGGTGGAAAAATCAAAATTGGAAACAGAACTGTTAGAACCCAAAACTAAGAATTTGTCAAGAATGTATAACTTGCTGTTGAAATGGAATACTCAGGATGAAACGGTGAAATCTGCTATGATTAAATGGGCACAAGATGTTGGACATAACATAATGATGGCTGACTGGGAACAGTTATGGACCACAGGTATGAAGTTTACGGCATGCAATGCCTTAAGAGAGAATATTATGAAAATGATATACAGGTGGTACATGACCCCAGTCAAGCTTGCAAAAATCTATCATTTGCCCGATAATAAATGTTGGAAATGTAAAGAAACTGAAGGTACATTCTTTCACCTTTGGTGGACGTGCCCAAGGATTAAGGCTTTCTGGGAGATGATCTATAATGAATTGAAAAAGGTATTTAAATATACCTTCCCTAAGAAACCAGAGGCCTTTCTCCTGGGCATAGTCGGCCAATTGGTGCCAAAGAAGGATAGAACTTTTTTTATGTATGCAACAACAGCAGCAAGAATACTCATCGCGAAGTATTGGAAGACACAAGACCTACCCACTCTGGAAGAATGGCAGATGAAGGTGATGGACTATATGGAACTGGCGGAAATGACTGGCAGAATCCGAGACCAGGGAGAAGAGTCGGTGGAAGAAGATTGGAAGAAATTTAAAGACTATCTACAGAAATATTGTAAAATTAATGAATGTTAGAATGATGTTGGATAGAAATCAAGTGGTTTTCAGCTGTAATACTATAAGGGAATATGAAAAATGGATTATTAATAGGTAAAAATTTAACGTTACAATATTTTAAGATTAAAGACTAGGATAAACAAAGAGGGTAAGAATTTGCTGAACCAACAAACCGAACTGGAATACAAAAAAGGGAGGCATGAGGAGGTCCAGGAAACAAGCTAATGAAAAATAAGTAATGGAAAGATTGAGTTGTTTTTAACCATTTTTATTTTGTATTTTCTTCTTTTTTATTTTTATTTTGTAATATTTTGAAAATCTTAATAAATATCTTATAATAAAAAAAAAAATGCATTTTGAGCTTCCTCAACGAGCTGCCCAGTTACTGTTAAGTGTGCTATCAACTCTTACCCCTAGGTCTGTACTGTCAGTGTCAATTAATGCTCCTGCAACAACAGGGCTATTCTGACATGACAAAGAGCTGTGTAGGTTGAAGCTGATGTACAAAACTAAGTGTGCTCAATTCAGCTGCCCTGAATAAACCGAGGGGAAGAAAAACAAGCCTTTTTTCCAGATGGAAAAACACACGCACACACAAAATATCACTCCTCCCCTCCCTTCTTTTAACAGCTTCTCTGATAGCAGGAAGTGAAAATAAGCCCTCACTCTAACCACTTCAGTCAGTAAGTCCGTCTGTGTACCTCCCCCTCAATAATGGGGCTGCAGTAGAGATATGCCTCTCTCAGACTGACAAAATAAATTACATCATTCTTCTGTCCAGGGGAAAAAATATTGTGTGTGTGTGTGTGCCTGTGTGCTGAGGCAGAGAGAGAGAGAGAGAGAGAGAGAGAGAGAGAGAGAGAGAATGAGAATTAAAAGGGTGCGGAATTTCCACCGTCACCACCTGGGAGCCCTTAATGTTACAAACTACTAAATGAACAGGGAGGAAAGATGAACCTGTGAAGGAAAGTTAGTTTTCTTTTCTGCAACCATCAGGCTTAACATAAACACCTTGGGCTTCTCCACAGCAAGGTGATCACATGAGGTTTAGTGATGCTGGCCTGCCTTCCAAGGAGAAAGTTGGATAGCGAAGCATGCTTAGACCAAGGAAACCACATGGAGAAAAAATATATGCCTGCATTTGCTACGTGCTTCAGCAGCAGATACTGTCTCTATCTGCATGCACCCTGCAAACAGTCTTTGCTTGCAGAAGCAGAAGATTCTCCAGCAAGCAACAATTAAAAATACTTCACACTCCACAAGGCATGAGTCCCAGGGAACACAGCAGAAAAGGAATCCTGGAAAATAACATCCCCCAGGAAAAACCATCTCAACATCAATGAGGCTGTTTACACAATAATGGTTTGATATCTTAGATCAACAACACTGAGGTGATAATCATGTAAAAGGTACACTTTGCTGATCAAGTTGGGCTCTTGCACTGTGGTTTTATAGAGAAATGACAGCCAGCCGGCGGAGATGATAATCCTACGGTCATTTTTCCTTAGATAAAAGAAGCGAATCAGGACCTGGCCACAGTGCAGTGACTTTCAATTCACTTTACACATTCAAGGAGGGATGAATCTGTGTGAACAAGCCAGAAACAAAAGGGGGGGGGGGGACCTTGGGTAGTTGTCCCAAGGCAATTCAAATGTAATATTTATGGGTGCAAAAATTGCAGGTGGTCATGAAGGTGGTCTCCCTGATTCAATTTTAAGACTACTGCAAACTAAAGACTAGGGCTTTCCTATTCTGTCCAGCAACATCCACACGCTATTGCCAATGCTAGCTGGCAGTCGCGCTCTCCTGGGTGTCAGGCAAAAGGAGGTCTTTCCCATCGCCTGCTCCCAGATTCTGCTAACTGGTGATGCCAGCGGTTGCCATTTGTTCTACCACTGAGGAATGGACCCTTCTTTTCTTTTGGATCTCTAAATTTGTTTAGGTACAGGTCTATTTTGCATAACTGTGCAGAGAATTTTTTGCGGAGGGGAGAGCAAAAAATGTGCGAAACGTTCTGCTGATAGATCAGAAGCAGAGCTCTGAAGTGTTTGGTTAAGTATGGAGAAGAACATGCAGAACAAGGAGCGCCCTGCTAACAGCTGTTTTCTGCAGGCCTCTCAGCTACATGCCTGCATTCTGCTGCAGTCGAAAGGCAATTTGGTGTGGCCCTCTGGTGGACAGATAGAGACAACTACAGCATAAAGTACGCTTGTACTGACCCAGACCAGCATCTCTGTCCCATGCAGGCAAGATATTGGGAGAGATTCTCACCCACAGTGGACCACCCAACAACCCAGTTCCTCATTCGTATTACCTGCTTGCCTTTCAGAATGTGCTTGGGCACTGGGACTTTAATCTCCAGATCACTGTAGTCTTGGGACCAGGCGTAATTCTCCCGCACTGCTCCATTGTAACTGTCAGGATTTGCCTGGAACTGCTCCTGTTTCCTGGGAGAAGAGAGTAAGAAGCTGGCTATTAAAATGGATGAACGGAAGAAAAGTCAAAGACCAAAGAAAAGCAAACAAACAAAAACAGGGACAAGCTGCAAGCGAAAGCCTAAAATGGTGCTAAGGTCTACTCTTATGCACCCAAGAAGAGCTCCAGGAGCCTCAGTGGACAAGTCCACATGCCTTTATATCAACCCTAGGATATCCTTTTCACTCCGATATGGCATGGGTAGTGCTGTGGTCTCTTGGGCTTGCTGGTCGCAAGGTCGACAGTTCGAATCCACGTGACGGGGTGAGCTTCTGTTGTTCTGTCCCAGCTCCTGCCAACCTAGCAGTTTGAAAGAATGCCAGTACCAAGTAGATATATAGGTACCACTGCGGTGGGAAGGTAAACAGCATTTCTGTGCGCTCTGGCACTAATCACAGTGTCCCATTGCGTCAGAATTGGTTTAGTCATGTTGGCCACATGACCTGGAAGTGCTGTCTGCAGACAAACATCAGCTCCATTGGCCTGAAAGCAGAGATGATCGCCGCACCTCATAGTTGAATCTGACTGGACTTAACCGTCCTGGGATCCTTTACCTTTTGCCTTTACCTCTATTAGATAACAGGGAAAACAGCATGAAAAAACTTTCCCTCTCCTGACCCCCAGCCCCTCCCCCAATATTTACCTTGCATTTTCCATCATGCTAATCCATAAGGATGACAAATCTGCTAGGTTAAACTGAGGAGTGCCAGCTGTTGTGCCACTAATAACATTTGTATTAAAATGGCCCGAGTGGCTTCTCCAGAGAGCTAAGACTAGCAAGTCACCCTTTAGTTGCCTCCAGTGCCAGAAAGTAAAGCATTGCCAATTTTGTGGGGGGCTGCGGGGGGGGGGGGAGAATTTGCATTTCACATCATGGGACTCAATCACACTAAATGCCCCCCTCCCCACTCAATTCTGTCTAGCTTTGGGTAGCCTCCAGACAAAAGAAAAAGGTTAAAAATAGACTAAGCAAAAGGACAGCTGCGGTCAGTCATGGTAATGTGGAAAAACAACAAGAGGCAAATGCTTAAAAACAGGGACAGGACAATGGAGGACAGTGAACTCTGGGGGGGAAAAAATAGGCAGGCAGCACTAACTTTACACAATTTATTACTTTTTTATGACAACTGGATTTACTTCTACTATTTGAGTTTGCTGAACAGGGTGACACATGAGCCATTGCGACAGAAGATCGGAATGGCATGGCCGGCACTCAGTGCTGCCCTTTCCAAGTCACTGGAAAGTAGGTGCACACACTCCTTGGCCTGGTATCACGCAGTTCCAGGATATAGAAGCAATCTCAGTTTTCACAGAACAAGCCTCTCTTCTCGCCCTGCCCCACCTCCCAAAGCGCTCCCACAGGTCAAAACAAAGGTATACCTAAGGAACATCTCCATAACACTAAACAGGTTCACACAGTCCATTCTTAAAGCATGGAAGGAAAAACAGGCAAACTGCCCCCACAACCCCATCCCCATTAACCCCCCCTCAACAGTTTCACCCCCCCACTATTCCATCACACAGCACAAAACTTGGCAAGCCAAAGGCCTATACTGCCTACCAGACTTCTACAAAAATAACAAACTCTTGTCGACACAAGAAATACAAGATAAACTAGGGGACTATAAATATAAATCAGGGAGCTTGAAACTCGAAGTATTTAAGAACGAAGAAGCTCACGAGCACCAATCAATCCTCTAACTTTAGAAGAACAAACATTAAAAAGTTTGCAGCAGGCCGGGGAAATGTTTGGGCATTGCTTGCCCTTAAAATGATATGACTGAACAGCAGGGTAGTCAAGTTGCAGGAAACATCAAATTCTGGATGGCAGAAACTCAAACAGATGGTAAAACCTCCAAAAGAGTCAAACTAGGTGACTAGGCAACAGAACGGCAGCTGGAAGTACAGCACCCTAATTTTACCTTTCTACTGACAATGTATAATTGGCTCTGAATATCCAGGAACGTTCTTTGTCATAGTGGAAAGTTCGCTAAAAATGTCAACTCACTGTGCTGCACCAGTGAAAAGGGCAGAATCAGTGTAAGGAATTATTAGGAAAGGAGCAGAAATAACATCATGCACCTTGCCATTGCAGTGCAGGCCTAGCTAGAATACTGTGTACAATTCTGGTTATCCCCATCTCAAAATAGACATTTCAGCTTGAAAAGGGCAGCTAAAATGATCAGAGTTAAATCATCTTCCCTAAAGATTTTGGGGCCCTGTAGTTTAGGAGAGACGATTAAGTGGTGGGCTGGGAGGAGAAGAGAGGCCTCTCAGATCCTGAATTGCTGAGTCAATTTATATGCTCAGACAATAGGTAAAGGTAAAGGGACCCCTGACCATTAGGTCCAGTCGTGGCCGACTCTGGGGTTGCGGTGCTCATCTCGCTTTATTGGCCAAGGGAGCCGGCGTACAGCTTCCGGGTCATGTGGCCAGCATGACAAAGCCACTTCTGGTGAACCAGAGCAGCGCACAGAAACGCCGTTTACCTTCCCGCCAGAGCGGTACCTATTTATCTACTTGCACTTTGACGTGCTTTTGAACTGCTAGGTTGGCAGGAGCAGGGACCGAGCAACGGGAGCTCACCCAGTCACGGGGATTCGAACTGCCGACCTTCTGGTTGGCAAGGCCTAGGCTGTGGTTTAACCCACAGCACCACCCGCGTCCCTTACTCAGACAATAGCAATGACCAAATTTTCATTGGCGCTCCATTTGCTTTGGTTACTTGGATCGGATTCACACTTTCCATGATAGGGCTAACATAGTTTTCAAATTATACTTTTTCATTGCACTGTATTTATATGCTGCCTATTTACCCCAAGAAAAGCCCCCAAGGCAGCTTACAAAGAAATGTACTTGCAAACAGTTCAGGTAGGTAGCCGTGTTGGTCTGACACAGTAGAAATATATTTTTAAAAATTAAAAATTGTCCAGTAGCACCTTAGAAACCAACTAAGTTTGTTCTTGGTATGAGCTTTCGTGTGCATGTACACTTCTTCAGATTGCAAACAATATAGATGATACAGATTCAAAACAAAACCTTAACATTTCAAAAGCCAAATGCGTTCTTGTTCCTTCCAAAAAGACGAAGAGCATCTCCCCAGAAAAATGTTGAGCGAGCAAGAGGGAAAATGTAAGTAGCACTTTCTCTTTATAAGGGTCCCAGGCAGGGCAGTGGGGCAAGGCAGGTTGGGGAAGCTTGTCCTTTGTGGTTCCAGCAGTTTCTCCCTTGTAGCAATAGGCTACAACAGGGGCACCCATCTAATGTCACCATGACATCAGTAACCCAATAGGGCTTGCTGTAAGAACCAATCAGTGCTATCAGGAAAACTTGTTTGGAGCAGGGATCCACTTGCACCTATCGGGGCTTGCTGTCACCGATGATCAGTGCCAACAGCAAGCCTCACTTGCCAAATAACAACTGGGAGCGCGTTTTAGGACTCCCAATTGTTCCTTCGGCAGCCAAGTCTTTGCCTTCTCCCAAGGAAAGCTAATAGAAACCCTAGTTTTCCACCCTCAGCGTCCACTAATAATAATAATAATAATTTTTATTTATACCCCGCCCTCCCCAGCCAAGGCTGGGCTCAGGGTGGCTAACAAGCAATAATAAAAACAAGTTGGAATGAATACAGCTTAAAAACAAAATTAAAATACAACATTAAAATATTGAAACATTAAAATATTAAAATGTAGCCTCATCTCAGGAGGAGAAAGGAAAAGAAAAAAAGAAAGAGGGGGAGGGAATCAAATTGGTTTCAAGCCAAAGGCAAGGCGGAACAACTCTGTCTAACAGGCCCTGCGGAAAGAAATCAGATCCTGCAGGGCCCTGGTCTCGTGAGGCAGAGCGTTCCACCAGACCGGAGCCAGAGTTGAAAAGGCCCTGGCTCTGGTTGAAGCTAATCTAACTTCCTTAGGGCCCGGGACGACTAGGGTGTTGCTGTTTATGGACCTTGAGGCTCTCCGTGGGGCATACCAGGAGAGGCGGTCCCGTAGGTACGAGGGCCCTAGGCCGTGAAGGGCTTTAAAGGTCAAAAGCAGCACCTTAAATCTGACCCTGTACTCCACCGGGAGCCAGTGCAGCTGGAAAAGCACTGGGTGAATATGCTCCCATGGCAGAGACCCCATGGACCGTAAGACTTACTATTATAGTGATACATAAATCCGCTTTGATAAGGCATTCACAAAATGCAAGGATTACCAAAACAGGCCATCAAATTGACCTCTAATCGACAATCCACATGCATCAATCCCTCTAACAGGCAACTTAAGTGGCTCGTGCTGATCACTAGGGATGAAAAATGGGTGCATCCCGTTAAGAAACTGAAGGTGACTGCACAATTATGTTACTGCGGAACCCGGGGCAGAGTGCAGATGCAAGCTCTTACTCTTACTTTGCAACAGTAAAATCCAGTCTGATAGATTCGCCCAGCACACTGCTCAGCTCAGAGGAAGTACATCAAGATTGCCGTGCCGGGCATCCAGGCGAAGGGATGAGGCCCGACTCGTGTGGTGCAGTTTCAGCTTAGAAAGAAAGAAAGAAGTGGGAGAATTGGGGGGGAAAGTCTGCTGGTGGCTGGCAACATTTTGTTTTAATTTTAAAATGGGTTCTGAAATGGAGCAAGGATAAGGAGGGTGCTGGAACAGACTTTGCAAAAGTTCCCTCATTGGAGCTCCATTTCCATGGAGACAGTTGTTATGGCAGCATAGAACAAACGTGGCTGATTCCAGCTTCCTAAAATGCCTAGAGACTACAGGAGCCAAAAGGGCTGGAGGACAAATAGAACAGAGAAGCAGGGGGAAGCTATCAGATTTACAATACTCGCTCTCTCTCTTTCCTGGTAAGTGTAATGGATTTCAGGAGGATAAACGGACTAATACTCTTTAAAGCCTGGATGACTTTGAGAAGCTTCAGTTAGTGTTGAACACAACAGTCTGCCTCCTGACAAATCAGGAGCACATGGCACCCACATCAGGTCTTCACCATCTGCCAGTCCTGCCTTTCTGTTGATTTTCAGACATGTATCTAGTTGCTAGTTCTGACCTATAAAACCCCACAGAGGGCACTAAAATATTATTTCCTTAAGCACAGGGGACAAGATATGCATGTGTGGTCCCTCTGAAATTAGAATTCAGAGTTATTTAGTCCCATTGGCTTATTTGTCATTATATCTAGGATTTTTCACCATGTTCAAAGGCTTGGATTAGAATGATTTCAAGTTTCTGCAGGAAGCAAGGAGAAAGAAGATATTAGCATTGTTTGCACCAAGAAGCTGATGGATTCTGTTAATTTCCAGAGGCTATTCTTCCAAAGGCCTAGACTCTCTCTCTAAAGTAGGGAAATGGCTTGGTCAACTGACATGTTCACCCTGACATGTCTTAGCTCAAGTTTTACTGAAGGATTATGGGAGATGAAGCAGTGAGGTCTGCAAAGGCAAATTCAACCAACTGTAGTTGACAGCTAGGGCTGCCTGCTTTATTCGGTTTAGTTGGCAATCAACTAAATCAGCTGATGAATTGATGAGGGTGAAATGTAGCCACAGTATGGCTGATTATCAAGTGTGTAAAGACACATTTATTTTTTAGGGTTCTTGTATGATTACTTTAACCACAGTATTAAAGATCACCATGTCTTTTGGTTATTAAACTGTCAACTTTGCTTACGTTTTCTTTAGTATATCTAAAAGCAATATGTACTGAGGTTTTGATGGCATGCACATTTCCTGAAAATGCAACGCATTAAAAAGGCTCATGATCAACACACACACACACAGTTGGCAGTCCTACTTAGAGCCTATGTAAAGACATATTTCCTGCAGTGAGGGCAGTACAACTGTGCACCCTAGCAAAGAAAAAATGCTTGCATGTGCTCCAGCTTAAGATTCCACTTTGATTTTATGTCCCATGACTGAAACATCTGGGCCCTCAGCTAAGTACTGTTGCATGAATCACTTTCAGCTACGGTAACCTGTAGACAAGATGCTTAGAGAACTGTGTGGCCTGTTATTTGTTCCCTTTATAACTACATGCTAGGACCCCTTTTAAGGAAGGATATATTATCCTCCGTATAGTTAAAGCTATGGTCTGTATAGTTAAAGCTATGGTTTTCCCAGTAGTGAAGTGAGAAGCTATGGTTTTCCCAGTATGGAAGTGAGAGCTGGACCATAAAGAAGGCTGATCGCCGAAGAATTGATGCTTTTGAATTATGGTGCTGGAGGAGACTCTTGAGAGTCCCATGGACTGCAAGAAGATCAAACGTATCCATTCTTAAGGAAATCAGCCCTGAGTGCTCACTGGAAGGACAGATCCTGAAGCTGAGGCTCCAATACTTTGGCCACCTCATGAGAACACTCCCTGGAAAAGACCCTGATGTTGGGAAAGATTAAGGGCACAAGAAGAAGGGGACAACAGAACAAGATGGTTGAACAGTGTTCTCAAAGCTACAAACATGAGTTTGACCAAGCTGCGGGAGGCAGTGGAAGACAGGAGTGCCTGGCGTGCTCTGGTCCATGGGGTCACGAAGAGTCGGATACGACTAAACAACAACAACATATTATCCTCCTTTAAACGGGACAGTAGTAAGAGGAAACCTTCTGAGACTTTAGATCAGGCTTCCTCAACCTCAGCCCTCCAGATGTTTTTGGTCTACAACTTCCATGATCCCTAGCTAGCAGGACCAGTGGTCAGGGATGCTGGGAATTGTAGTCTCAAAACATCTGGAGGGCCGAGGATGAGGAAGCCCGCTTTAGATATTACCAGCTGTTACCCAGTGTTATCCTCCTTCCTTTATGCTAGCAAAGAGGTGGGCAGTGGCTGTGTAACTCTGGGCATGTCTAGACTCAAGGTTTCTTTATGCATTCCAGTCTAGTTTCTAACCAAGTTTCAGGACTGAAATTGCTTTGGCAGATTAAGTGCTTCAGAAGTCAGGAGAAAAGTTGTGAAGCTCACTGGGTTGTCTTGGGCCAGTCACCTCCTCTCAGCCTAACCTACCTCACAGGGTTGCTGTGAGGATTAATCGAGGAGGGGGAGAACCATGTACACCTCCTTCAGCTCCTTGAGAAAAAGGTGGGATATAAATGCAATAAATAAATAGAGCAGCTCTCTTATTTTCCAGGGACCCTTATACCATTTGGTACCAATGACCATCAGATTCTGTGATACCGTTTATGTAGGTTATGATTATGGTTTCCACGGTGTGGTATTGGGGAAGTTCCTTGTGGGCCACTGCAAAGGTCACTTTTGACACCACACGGTTTAAAATATACTGTACATTAAACTTTGGGAAGAGATTGCGATAATTGTAGATCATTTTTTTATCTGGTCGCTCATATTTTTTACAATAATTTTCATCTTATTTTTGTTAAGTTTAAAACCTGCTACCTCTCCAAATTCAAATATTTGTTCTAGAACCCTTGGTACACTGGCCATAGGTTCCTCTACAGATATCACCACATCATCAGCAAATGCCTTAAGTTTATATGCTCTCTGCTCCACTGCTCTCCCTTTAATCTCTTCATCAGCTCTAATTCTTCTAGCCAGAACCTCTAAAACCAATATAAACAATAACTGGGACAGGGGACAGCCTTGTCTTGTCCCCTTAGTTATCTTAAATTTTTCTGTTAAGACATTATTCACTATCAGCATAGCATATTCGTTAGAATAAATTGCCTCAATCGCTTTCAAGCATGTCTCTCTCTCTCTTTCTAAAGTTTTTGTATTAAAGTCCATGACATGTTATCAAAGGCCTTCTCTGCATCTATAAACATCAGTGCTGCTTGTTTATCATTTCTTACTTCTAGGTATTAAGAAAAGCCTAGAAATTGGGGAGGGATGAACTTGTCACTTATGGGGCAGATATCTGTATAAAAATGAATTTGCTACCAAAAATGTTATTTCTGTTTCAAACAATACCAGTGATCTGCAATACAAGATGCTTTAAAGAAGGGCAGAAAGATATTACAAGATTTATCTAGAAGGGGAAGAAACCAAGAATAAATTATTGACAGACGTGTGATCCTGATGAGTGATTTTTGGCAATCCCCCCTAAAATAAGCTCAACAACTCTGGGCCAACCCCCCCCAATAAAAAGCTCAACAACTCTGGGCAATTTCCCATTTTCTTAATTTGGAGTCCCCAAAAATAGGGGGCGTCTTATACATAGAGGCGTGTTATACACGGAAAAATGTGGTATATGAAAACAATGTATCATTGGTATTTAACTACTAGTTAATTAGCTAAAATGTATAAATCAAAATCTAAAACATGCTGGAAATGTAAAGAGAAAGAGGGTACTTTTTACCACATGTGATGATCATGTAAGATGATAAAGGACTTCTGGGAAACGGTATATAATGAATTGGAAAAAAATGTTGAAAACAACTTTTCCTAAGAAACCAGAAGCTTTTCTCTTAGGTATTATAGGTCCAGAGATCCTGAAGGACCAGTTGAAACTATTCATGTACGCGACCATGGCTGTGTGGATTCTGTTAGCCCAGAAATGGAAAGATGGTACAACTCCAACCAAGGAAAAGTGGCAGATAAAATTGATTAACTATGCTGAGATGGCAAAACTTACAGGAAGAATTAGAAACCAGGAAGAGGCGGTCTTTAATAAAGAATGGGGAAAATTTATAATCTATTTGAAAAACTATTGTAAACAGTTACACACATTGGTAGGATTGACAGAACACATATAGTAAAAATTAGAACTATGGAATGATAAAGGATTTATAAGAATAGAGTTATTAAAGAAATGCAGAGGGAAAAATCGTTAAATTAAGATCCACAATTGGGGGGGGGGAGTCAAATGGGATTATATATTTATGTTTTTATTTTGCTTGTAAATGTAAAATAGAAAATGCAAAAAAAAAAAAAATTATAAAAAGAGTGTCGTTCCCAAGGAGGTATTTTGATGCTGTGATTGGAGCAGTACAAATCTTGATAAAGCAGGAAGGCTGATGGTTGCAGTTTTGGGAACTGAATGTTGCCAGGGAAAGAGGTCCTCCTTTCTGGAGGACACATTTCTGGACAGTGAGATAGTAATTGCGGTAAGGAGCATGTTTTCCACTTGCAACTGCCTCAGTATTTAGAAAATTAGGATCTGGCCTTTATTATATATGCACTGCTCGTGTCACTTGACTGCTGTGCTGGGTTCTACCTTATTACTGCACTCCACCAACAACTGGGGAAAAAGAGCTAACTGGACAACTGCAGAAGATCACCACTGGTGTTTTAAATTCCAGATATGGTTATGTATGTGCAGCCTAAACAAAATAAAGAATTCATTCATCACTCTCCAACAGCTTAGGGCTTGTAAGTTCCACACATTAATTAAGCCATGCTCAGGGTTTGGTCATCAATGAGGGAAAATACTCGCAAGTATCCATCTCCAAGTTCACCAAAGAAGTGGGTCCCAGACTGCACTGCAGGCTTGATCTGAATGTCAGTTTAAAAAGCTTGAAGACTCATTTTCAAAGAAGTGGAATTCCTCTAGCACAGAGGTAGGAAGCCTCAGGCCCTAGCCTCAATAGTCTCCTTAGGTCATGCCCCTACAGGCCCCACCATCCTCACCTCTGCTTTGCACCCTGCTCAAGGGCTTTGACTTGCTGGAATGTAGCTGCACACTTAATTGTGATTGTGTCTCTCGCTTGCCTGGATGAAAGATAAGAGAGAAACTTCGGGCTTTTGGATGGCTGGAATGCAGCCTACTGCACAAAAGAGTCACATCTACTGGTCCACCCACTTTCATCTCTCGTCACACTCATGGGTGACCAGAGAGGAAAAGTCATGGGTTTTTGCAGACCCACAAGCAAAAGCAGAAACGTGCAAGTGGCAGATTGGGAGCTGACAAGCCTCAACGGTACCAGAAATTGCAAAGCAAAGCTACTGTAAGAAACATCAGAATATTGGGGGGGGGGGGGGTAAATCTAGAACTGGACAGATGCAGGGTGGCAAGCTTGTTTGTTAAGAAGCATCTTCAGAACAAGCAGAAAGTACCCAGGGTGCTTTAGGACAGTGATAGCCAACTTGGCGCCCTCTGGAAGACGTTGGGACCCCAGCTCCTATCATCCCCAGCCAGTACAGCAGATGATCAGGGATAATGGGAGCAGAGGTCCAATAACATCGGGCTACCCATGCCTTAGGGGAATGAGCTGCTGTTGGCACCTTACAGACATTCAGGGAATGCATTTCTGGGAATCAATCATGCCTGTGCTGGAGACAGAGGGCAAGAAGGATGTCTACCCAGAAGACAGACCCTAGGAAGAACAATCATGGCAATACAAACCACCTGCCATGCCGGCCACCTAAATAAGAGCAGAAAACCGCAGCAGTGGCCAAAAAATCAAAACTGTTGAAACTGTAGGAGTAGAGGGTTGGGAAACGTCAGCTTTTAAATAAAGGGTTCAGCATTGCTCATACTTAGCTGATGGTAGTGGGGATGATGGGTGCGTCTATGTGTTCCGCCTTGTTCTATTTTTGCTTCAATGTGTCATGGGGTGGTGGTGAAAGCTTTTTTTTAAATTATTTATTTAAACCAAACATAAACACCAACAAATCTGGTGTTCATCTCCTTTCAAAAGCCATGCTCATTTGTATCTATCGTTCTTTCTCCTCCTCCAGCCCAAGAGTCCACAGGTACGATGTGCCACTGGTGAGCACAGTGTTGGGGAGAATTGGCATCCTTCTCCTGAGTTTGGAGGAGAGAAATGACTTTCCCAGACAGTATGTAGAGCCGTGCAGATGCATGGGAAGCAGTGAGATTCCTTGCTGCTTTTCTGAGTGCGTGAAACTCGGAGCAGAGCAGAGCTGAGGAGGGCAGCAGGGACTTCTTCATCCTAAGTTGCCTGGACTTGAGCACCATAGGACATCAAACAAAGCACTGTCTTTTCCTCAGCAGAAAGGGGGAGTCAGCTTGACTATCAAGGCTCAAAGTTGAAGCCTAGAGTTGCTGTCCCTCGTGATTTCATTCATTCACTCTGTGTATATGGCACAGAACTTGGAATTCCCGAGAATCTTCATTTACCTCCTTCTTTTTTTAAAAAAAAAGGTGCCTTCCCAAATTCATGATTTGATGCAAATAGTTGCAGATCTACGTAACATGTGTAAAGTGATTTCAGCATTCTGGAGTGGTGTTAGCCTGCAGAGTTCTGTTCTTCCCACATTGCTTCCTGGCAGGCCGTTTTACTGCTCCATCTTCATTTCTTCTTGCACATTACTAAAATACTCCAGACTCTGCAAACACGGGGCTCCACGTTTAGCTCTGGCAGCAGAGACCACCAGTAAGCAGAATCCACTAAGCCGAATCAAAAGATTCTGCAAACACTTAAGAGATGCTCTTTGGAAGATGCAAACTGAGCAAACGCATGTAAAAAACAACAACCTGGCATGCATAAATACTATCAGCTGACAGAATTCAGCATTTAGCACATAATGCCTGGTTAATTATTTTTAATGCAGATTTTTCTTTCAAAAAGCAAACATCCTGAATAGCCCCCAATATGCATTTTTGTGTTTTAGGAAAAGTTCTTTATACTATTGACAATGACTTTGCTCTCTCAAACCACCTGGGACCTGACATATTTTGAGTTTGCATGCTGCTAAAGGTTTTTATTACAGTGGTTTAGGAACCGTATTAGACATGCAGGAGATTTCATATATGGACAGGACAGCAAATGCATGGCGGAGCCAGGGTGTGGTGAAGTTTGTCAAAGTTATACCCAAAGCTGGCAGGAGACATTCTCCAAGATGTTTGGAAAAGGGATTTGCCATCATCTGCTACCTACTCCTTTAAGTTAGATATGTCAAGGGTTGAACCTGCATACAGGGCATGAGTCCTACCTGCAGCAATAGCCCTCATCACACATGCCCAAAGATGTTCCTTCATCACTTTTCTGCTACTTAACGAGCCCTTCAAATCAGCCTGAAGTCTATTTCAAGGAGGGCAAAACAGAAACCCCGGGCTGCCACTAGGCTGTCCCCAGGCACTTAAATTTTTTCTCTCTCTAAAGCTACTCATCTAAACAGGAGTGAAAGGATAAATCTTCAAAATTTGAGGCTGCAATCCTAAACAAGTCTACAAGGAAGTACACCTCACTGAAAACAGTAGACCTGCACAGGGCAGGTATCCTTTCAAAGGAAAGGCGTGGGTCCCAGATACTGTACCCACTTACTCTGAGTTACCCAAAAAGCACAGCAAGAACACGGAGTTAACAGCAAAATGATTCAGCTAAGAAATAACCAAGTTTCAAGCTAGCATGAAAACTGCATGAGGTCCTTTCATAGGCCTTCTCAAAGCCTGCACGTAGGAAGCCTGGCATTTCACAGAAAGGCACCCTGCATAGCAAAACAGACTGGAATTTATTTCAGTGGTCAGGCATTTAAATCATCTCTTTGACAGCAGCCTACGGCAAGAAGAGCCCATCAAAGTAATTAACTAGGAGGTCAGAAATGCAAAGGAATGAACCGAGGACAGTAAGGAACATTTCATACGAGATATCCCTATTGATAGATGAGCAGCAATGGAAAGCAACTAATATAGTATTTTTCCTGAAATTGGTTCTTCCTCAACTGTCACCTAGGAATGGGCATTCCACCAAGGTACCTAAACTAGTGCCATCCCTGTTGGTTGTTAAAAGAAATGTAACTTTAAGAAGTGGTACCCAAATTTGCTTGTTTCCTTTCTCCCGCTCCATTCCTTTTTCCATTAGAATTTTAAGGCCATGTGTTTAGATTTTTATTGACTTCCAAGCTGCTCTAGGAGCCTTTTGGCTCAAGAGAATAAATACATGGGTGTTGCACCAAGATTCTAAGAAGACACTCCAGACTTCCTTGTGCAAGGCCACAGAAGTACTCAACACTGCTAAAAAGCCACTAAAAAGCCCCTTAGAAGTCTGAACAGCCCCTTAGAAAGGGACCATGGGTTACAAATCAATAAGGTTAATAGAGCGAACGTGTCTCAGAGAAGGATACAATAGCACCATCTACTGGTGATCCGGGGAAGACACAAGGCTAAGAAAACTTATTTGACCATGAGTCAATAAAAAACGTTTTTGCTACTGCAAGATACGGGGTGTGCAAACATACACCGAAAGGACTCACGTGTTTGCACATCAATTGGACGTACCTATAATGGTCACTGCCTGCAAGACACGAGGTTGTCACTGCTACAAATGCTGCATTGTGTTCACTTATGGCTAGGGTAGGGAACCTGTTGTCTCACTACAGCTCCCATCAGCGCCAGCCAGCATGACCAATGGTCAGAAATGATGCACTTTGTAGTCCAACAAGATCTAGGGGGCACAAGGTTCCTCAGCCCATTAACTAACAACATTTGGAGGCTCAAAGCTGCCCAGCCCTGGCTTAAGGACACTGAGGTTTCTGTTATACATCCAGCGAGGTTGGATCAGGATTAGGACACCACACGTGCTGGCTTTCTAAAGTAACCTTTCTGTTAATTCTTTTACAAATCAGGGAATCATCATGTTTTCAGAATGGCAAGCAAGTTACGTCACATTGCAAAAGAACACAACTTATTATTTTCAGCTCATAGATGTGCTTGTCAATTGCATACGATTTGTGGCAGAAGAATGAAAGCTTCCTGATTTAATTTAAAATGCTGCCTTTAGCACAGGGGTAGGCAACCTAAGGCCTGGGGGCTGGATGCGGCCCATTCGCCTTCTCAATACAGCCCACAGACGGTCTAGGAATCAGCATGTTTTTACATGAGTAGAATGTGTCCTTCTATTTAAAATGCATCTCTGGGTTATTTGTGGGGCATGGGAATTCGTTCCTTTCCCCCCCCAAAAAAATATAGTCCGGCCCACCACATGATCTGAGGGACGGTGAACTGGTCCATGGCTGAAAAAGGTTGCTGACCCCTACTCTACAAGTCCACAGACAGAAAGATGGACTCCGCCATCGCTAGGAAATTTGGGCCGAGGGCAGCTCACACAATGCTTACATACACAAACTACCAGAAAAGAGACTTTAAAGACTGTATCAATACATTAGAATTAGAATCAGGCTTTTCACCCAAGGAGGACCAATTTTATTTTATTTTTACTAACACTGATTTCAACGGGGGCCTTTTTCAAACCTAGAAATCCTGAGTTACCCACTTCTAAAGCCACAATGCTGCAATGAGGGAACCAGAGTTTGTTTTGGAGAGGGTTTCACTGAAGTTTCTCCATTTTAATGAGCAATGATTTTAAGCAAAGAAACCATGTTTTATTTAAACCAAGTCACACGCTGTCCTCTTGCCTGCAGCAAAGGGAGTTTTTTCTTGGTTAACAAAACAGCAGGAAGAGAGAGAGAAATGTAGGTTCAGTTGGGCTTCATGTCCTCATTTCCAGAGTTAGGCATCCAGATCCCAAAGCAAATAATTGATATGGAAGACATGATACACTCAAGCTCTGCAGCTGCATTTATATTTCCAACACCCGATTGAAGTTGTAAGGCTTCATGAGTACAAAAGAAAGTTATGGGCCTTAATTTTTTCAATGGAACAAAAGCACAATCCAGCCTTACTCACTGGCCCACAGGAACGTTCCTCATTACAGTGGTACCTCGGGTTAAGTACTTAATTCGTTCCGGAGGTCCGTACTTAACCTGAAACTGTTCTTAACTTGAAGCACCACTTTAGCTAATGGGGCTTCCTGCTGCTGCCGCGCCACCAGAGCACGATCTCTGTTCTCATCCTGAAGCAAAGTTCTTAACCTGAAGCACTATTTCTGGGTTAGTGGAGTCTGTAACCTGAACCATATGTAACCTGAGGTACCACTGTATTAATGAATGAATGAATGAATGAATGAATGAATTATTAATTATATACCGCCCTATACCCGAGGGTCTTATATACCCGCCCTATACCACTCAGGCACAAGATACAGCATATTTTAGGAAGCCAAAGCTTAATTTATAGCCATTTGAAGCCCACTTTTTTTTTTTACTGGATGTCAAACACAGCCTGAGGCAATGTGGAATCCAAGATGAACTCAGGTGTGGTCCCTGTTTGATTACAAATGAAAAATACATTTCAGAATCATGTCCTGACAGTTTGTTTTCAAAATATATGTATAAACTATGCAAGTTACCAGCGCCAATTCAAATAAAACAAGCAGCATCGAGTACAATATCTTATACTGGACCCATTAAAACAATGGAAACACATTCTTAGGCCCAAGTGGATAGGACAGAAAAGATGCTATACATTCAGGATGATATCAAACAATTGGCTCCATCTTGTACCCCATCTGGATAGCTTGTAAATGAGAAAGTGGTGGTGGTGGGTGGAATAAGAGGTACCACGTAACATTTTGGATCTGCGTTACAATTCCTCCTTTGGACTGTCATGCATGCAAATTCAGTGTGCCGCCATTCATATAACTCCATCTGGAAGTACCTTTGAAAATTTCAGTTTCTAGGTGTGGCAGAAGGTATGGCAAAAGTAAGCCCCATCCACCTTGAACCTAAGAAAATAATCTCTCTTCCTTGGGTTTGATTATCTGTATTTGTGACAACAGTGTCAGGCTGGATCTGTGCATCACAGACTGTACCATTTCAGGCTATGGGGGGGATAACTTTTGACTGCCTCCCCACCTAAAAGATCACTGGCAAGTAGAATACTATCAGGAAGTGTGGATCTAGCCTAGTTCTAATACTATTCTGTGTTCAGAAACAAAACAACAACAATAACAACAAACAAAGAAACAACAACAACAAATACCCTTCCTATCTGACTGGGCTGCCCCAGCCACTCTGGGCAGCTTCTAACAGGTTCCACAGGGTTGGTGCCCCTACCGAAAAGGCCCTATGTCTGGTTTCCTGTAACTTCACTTCTCACAGTGAGGGAGCAACCAGAAGGCCCTTGGAGCTCAGTGTCCAGGCTGAATGATGGGAGTGGAGACACTCCATCAGATATACAGGGCCGAGGCCGTTTAGGGCTTTAAAGGTCAGCACCAACACTTTGAATTGTGCTCAGAAACGTACCGGGAGCCAAAGTAGGTCTTTCAGGACCAGTGTTATATGGTCCCAGCAGCTGCTCCCAGTCACCAGTCTAGTCGCTACATTCTGGGTTAGTTGTAGTTTCCAAGTCACCTTCAAAGGTAGCCCCACATGGAGCACATTGCAGTAGTCCAAGTGGGAGATAACCAGAGCATGTACCACTGGTGATATAGGGCGCAGGTAGGTAGGGTCTCAGCTGGCGTACCAGGAAGTTCACATCAGGCAGCAGTGCTAACCTTTGGGCCTTCAGATATGGTTAGACTACAGTTCCTATCTACCTGACCACTGGTCATGCTGGCTTGAGATGATGGGAACTATGGTCCAACAACTTCTAGAGGGTCAAAGGTTAGCTACCCCTGACATAAAAGACCGTTCAGAGTTGTAGTCATCAGCTTACAGTCTGTTAAATTATTCCAGCATTCTACCTCATTACCAGGGAAACAACCACCAGCAGTCATACATCAGGGAAACTGAACATACCTGCAAATATAGGCTTAACGATGCAAATGTGCAAAACATATTGTTTTAAAATAAAGCCCAACCCACTTTAAAATTGACTGCATGCTTCCAAAACTAGCATTTGTGATTCATGCATGGATTTTCAATGAACTAGCACCCAGAGGCTGTAAAATGCCAAAGAATTAAAGTTTAAATAGCAGGTCCTTTTTGACTTTGTTATCACATGGTGCCACAACATAGACATAACACTTTGATCAACTTAAAAAAATCTAGGCTTCCAACTGTTTCCAGCTTCAATTTTTAGAAGCCAGCTCCACATCTTGATAGTTTGCCAGCCTACCCAGTCAGTGAGCGTACATCTCTCACCCTAACTCAACACCACATTAACAGGTGACAAGACAAGCCTACCAGAGAGCCAAACTCAGCAGACACTATCAGTATTTGCCTAGCAATAGACAGCTTGCTCTACTTAGGCGTACAAAAAGTAGCAGGGGACTACAGACCCAATACGCCTGGTGCCCTAGGAGGAATGACCAGTAGCACATTGAAAAGAACTTAAGTAAAGTTTCAATGGACAAAATCATCCTTTGATCGATAGATGAATCTTTTTATCCCATGTAATTTTTTTCCATTCTGACTCACTGCACCTAATCCAGGATTGGGGCATGACTGACTAACACCATCAGAAACGCAAGCTTTTTAAAAGCACAATCTCTTCTGAAATATATAGGTAGGTTAAAAGACAAACCTTGGCTTTTCTGGTTATTGAAACATACCAGCAGAGGACTGGGACACCTTTTTCAGCCCCGGAAGTGCATTCCTTTCTGGGGAACCTTCCAAGTGCTGCACAGCAGTTGAAAGCAGAGCTCTTCATGCTGGGACTTATGGATGGAGATATATATATATACCATGGAACACTATCCCAATACATGATCACAGCAGTGAAACTTTTATATGTACAAAGATGGAAAGATTGATCATTACCTACCATGGAGGAATGGTTGTCAAAATTACTGGACTTAGCTGAGATAGCAAAGCATATACCTGTTGCCTTAACATGAAAACAGCAACAACTAGCTGCCACATGGGTTGGACCCATAGTTTACTGAGATCTACCCTGATATGCACCTAAATAGATATATGCCATTAGGTAGACACTTGAAAATACCCTGGCATGAACCTCCACTATAAACTTATGATAGAGAGGTAGAGGGAGTCCTTCTGAAGCAGAAGTACCTCTCACTGCAAAGCCCAACAATGACAAACTTAATGTATTTGCTTTGTTCTTCATATCAAAGGCCTGCAATGTCATAAATTCCTTCCAGTAGCACCTTAGAGACCAACGAAGTTTGTTATTCTTATTATAGTTGGGTCTCTAAGGTGCTACTGGAAGGATTTTTTTAATTTTGTTTCGACTACGGCAGACCAACACGGCTACCTACCTGTAGCTACTGCAATGTCATGTCGCTGAACTACGCATTCCAGCAATAATGCCTAGTGCCTTTACCAAACTTGTGGTATACTGAAATAGGCATGTGTGCTAGAAGTTGGTGCCTTTTAAAGATATCCTGCCCATCTTACTTTTACGTTTCTAAGTTTACAGCTCCAATTCTGGGTCACAGAAAGCTTCCAGGCAAGCAACACTTTTGAAAGGGAACAAACAGATCTCACAAGTGTGTTGATTCTGCCGTTCCAGCGTAACCCAGTTTTGCTTAATATAGCAGCTCCTACTATTTTCTCCTACCATGGAGAGGACAGCCAGTTCAGCTCTACTTGCAAGCAATCCCTTGTGGTTCAACTTACAAAGGCCACCATCGCTCCTGGTTCTACTTCAGAAACCTCAACCGCTTATGCTGCGCCACACTTCTCTGAAAAGAGCTTATACTTGCTTCTCATCCCTCATTTCCAATAACTTCACAAGACGCAACTCTTCTAATACTAGGCCTTAAGAGAGATGTAACTTAGACCCCAGTTCCATAAATGGGGTGAAGAAAAGACTAATTTATGCAGCTAAATACACCGTGGATCCTCTTGCTCAGACAATTATCACCCAGTAGTTTGTATTGTTGTGCTTTTGATTTTTTAAAAACTTCTTTTCCCCCCCAATGCCATGGAAGTGCCAATTTCACTTTAAGCGCCTTCCACTCAGGCCACCCCACACCAAGTCAAATTACTAAGAAAGCTGTCTGACTTCCAAAGCGTCTGCTGTGCCAACAGAAAAATAAGGCAACCAAGAGAGTTCAGCCTTCTACCTAAAAACAAAGGCGCAAATGAGAATCGGGAGTCAAACAATGTAAACAGAACTCAGGAGGCTGACTGATCTGTGGCACATGTGACACTATTTTAAATACTGTGAGGCAAATGTATGCAGAGTAAAATCTAAAAGAGGGCCAAGTGAGAAGGCAGCACTCAAAATAAAAAAGGAGCTGAGCTCAGACATCGAGAACGATGGAGAGAGCTGCTTGTCAAAGCAGATGGAAATGTCTGGGCACAAAGAGTGTTGCAATTCACAGCCTCACACCACCCAGATGGCAATAAAACAGGCACTCTTTATTCTGATCTTTCTGAAGTTGGAGACATAAAGATCAGATGGCAACATGTCCTACATAGGATCGTTTAGAGATGGAAGCCAAGCCAATATAGGCTTTGGCAAGAGATCAGAAAAATGATATCCCATCTCCTTCCATTAAGCATTTGTTGCAATACTACTCAAAGTTGTGATGTGCTGCATCTAAATGTAAGACCAGAAGGGAGGAGGAGGAAAGACTACATTGTATGTGTCTTGTGATAATGAGAGGCCTCTATATAGCTGCCAGGTTATGATTACTTTGTTGGCATATTGCATGAGAAAAATATACTTTGAGATTAGATTTTTGTTTCATCCTTGCCATCTTCCAGGAGGAAGAACACGGGTGAACACAAAAGGTTTTAAATTTTAGATTCTACCTGTACCAAGTCTATCTAGATCAGTATTGTCTAGACTGACTGACAGATTTTCAGCATTTCAGACAGAAGTCTCTTCCATTCCTATCTCGAGATGCCAGGGATCGAACATGGGATCTTTTGCATCCAAAACATGTGATCTATGGTTTTCTCCCAGTCAAGTGGGAGACACACACATTTACCACCACTTCTGTGCTTCTAAGTTCTAGAAAAACATACAAACCCACCCTCTTTCGAAAAAGATAAGGACGTTTCGGGAGATAAGAATGACCATCCTGTACTGAGGCTGTGCACATTTGTGTAAGGTGTTAACAAAGGTCCAAACGCTTTTAGCCAGCTGCTCTTGTACTCTACTTGTATATTTGATTTGGCCTGGAAAGACATTCATCACAGTTACTGAAAGTGGCAGTAATTAAGGCATTTCAACTAACAAACTAATTCAGTTTTCACTGAATGCATATTTTATAGTGCTAGAACCTGATTTGTACAGAAAGGGCTAGAAAGTACATGGGGATTGTTTTGGTTAAATGTTAGAAAAATGAGAGAAATTTGGGCATTCAGCCTTCAGCCCAGGAGCTACCACCACTCGTACACATATAAATAGTAGAATCATAGAATTGTAGAGTTCTATACCAGGGTCATCTAGGCCAACTCCCTGCAATGTAGGAATAAATGATGCACCTACACATATTACTGCTCCCTCAAACACATTATTACTTATTATTTCATAGCTGTCAATGTTTTCCTTTTTTTTAAAGGGAAATTCCCTTATTCCGAATAGGATTCCTCGCAAGAAAAGGGAAAGTTTACAGCTATGTATTATTTTCTTTCTACCATCTAAACATATCCCACATTTAAAGAAAACACCATATTCCTGAAACTACAAGAGAAAATATACTGACTTTTTGTACTAAATAAGAAGCAGAGATGTAAGCACACCTCATCTACATACCAGATGAAGACTAATAATGTTAATCTTATTCACAGTTTGCAAGATGGTATATTAGAGATATGTTTCAACTTCTGGGTGATGAGACTTGGGGGAATTATGTTGTCTTCATGTAAAGAGAGTTGGAAATACTGTTGCAGAATTTCAATTTCCATCCATTTGTTGCTAGAAATGAACATCATAGCATCTTGCTTAGCCAGGCTCTCAGCAGCAAATTTTGTCTGGAGGGAAACCTCAGAGACCTCACATAACTCTTCAATATGCTTTGGAGTCTATGTTATCCATTTAGTGGATGCCAACACCACCCAGTGGCAAGCTTATACCAACTACAGCAGTTCTGCAAGAAAAGTTGGATGGAACATCTCTGCACACAGTTCTTGAACTTTTCAGCAGCAAACACCTGCATATTAGCTAAACAAGATGAATACATTATTGATTAAAAGCTGTACGTTTAGGGAATCTTCGGTTATTAGTCTACTGATTCATTAATATAACCCTACTGAATGCTAGGACCAGTATGAGGGCCAGACCTTGATGGCTGCTTCACCTGGTGGTATATTGCAGGTGAAACCACCACTGCCGAGTCTCTCTATCAGCACCAAGTGTGTGAGGGATAAACAAGCTGCAGCCAGGTGCTGGCAGCAGAGGGACTCGGCAGTGGTGGTTTCACCTGCAATATACCACCAGGTGAAGCAGCCATCAAGGTCTGGCCCTCATACCACTGAGGGAGGAACATCAGCCTCAGCCAATGTAGCTTGTTCCTAGCTTGGCTGCCTACACAGTGTAACAGAACTCCCACCTCTCCTCCAGTTTGCATGAGCCAGAGGTGGGAAGGTGGCTCCTTTACACTTCTCTGTTCAGGGGCACACAGCTGCCTGGGAGACATCGGGGCTCGCTCAGCTGCAGAGCAGGAGCCTTCCTGCCCCCCAGCTGAGCAGTGCAAACAAGCTGCGTTGTACTTGCCCCCAAGGCTGTGGAGTGAAAGAGCCTCAGCTCCCGTAGTGAGAGCTGCAGCAGTTTCACCCCACAAATCGCAGGCTGGGAACAATGCAGCTCATTTCAACATTGCAGTGTATCGTCAGATCGTGATGTTTGGGCTGGCTAAAGGCAGATCAAAGGGACAGCACTGCTACCCAAATGAGCAGCATGATTCATATAGCACATTTCACACCTTCAAAAAGCCTGCTCCACACATACAGCCTCAGTAATTCTTACAAAGCCCTATAAGGTAGGTTGATCATTTTTCAAATAGAACAGCGGTTTCCCCAAGATCAAGCCAATGGCTAAGGCAAGATTTGCAGACCAGCTCTTAGCTCACACTCGTCATCACTATGTTAAACACTGCTTTGCTTCCAGAGTAAAAATGTTCCATCCTCTCATACATCAACACTAGAAAATAGTGTCCAGCAGGATCTTTTCCCCATGTAGGATGCTAAACCCATTCCAACACTCCACAGGCAATTGTGAAACCATCTTGTTCAGTGTTTGGGATGCAGAGATTGGTGGTTTCTGGCTTTCGGCAAGCTGCCTTTCCAAACCAACAGGAAGTGCAATGTCCACAATGGATGTCAGGATTCTAAGAGATTCCCATGACAGTAAAGCTTCACCCATCCTGCAGCCATGCCATCAAACTGATACAGAGCCTCATTTCACCTTGCCTTCCTAAGTGATTAGACGACCAACAAAGGACTTACATGGCAGTACACAAAAGCTTTTAAGTTATCAGTACCTTGAGAAATACACTCACCAGCTGTGTCACATTCTGCTGCTAGCACACGCAGCTTGGGATGTCCGTAAAAAAATGCATTTCAAAAATTACATTTCCAATACAGTGGTACCTTGGGTTAAGTACTTAATTCATTCCAGAGGTCCGTACTTAACCTGAAACTGTTCTTAACCTGAAGCACCACTTTAGCTAATGGGGCCTCCTGCTGCTGCTGTGCCGCCAGAGCACGATTTCTGTTCTCATCCTGAAGCAAAGTTCTTAACCTGAAGCACTATTTCTGGGTTAGCGGAGTCTGTAACCTGAAGCGTATGTAACCTGAAGCATATGTAACCCGAGGTACCACTGTATAGTTTTGTCTGTATCACACATACAAAACTCCCTAACACGTCACAAAAAAATTCATCCAAGGCTAATGAGTGTCTACTTGACAAAATTAAACATAATTTGCCTTAGTTCCACTCTGAAGTACTATTTCCAAGGTGATTAGTCTTTAAACACTGAAAGCATCTTCCCAGACCCATCTTTATATTAGCAGAAACTCAGAGAAACATAATGTAAGTGATAGGAACCAGGCATGGGTGTTAAGAGACGAGTGGAGATATTTAAGAATCAGTCAGCAACACAAGTTATCCCTGGAAAAGCTAGAAATTCTATTGAAAAATAAACAAAATAAATGTTCAGCTTTTGGGTTTCACCTACAATGAAGAGCAGCAAGAAGAGCAAGAAAATGCACATATCAAGCACATAATAGACAGCGGGTTCCCCAATACTTGCAAATTAGGCAAGGTTTCTCCCTAAAGCCACCACAGGCCAGTATACTTGGCAAGTGTACATCAAATAAATTCCACAGAGTATTCTCACCAAGATTTACATACTCTGTGGCAGCCTCTCGTTTAAGCCTAGTCTACACATTCAAGAGAACAGGCCACACCACTTTAAACTCCCAGTGAAAAATCTTTTAGTTGTTTACTCATACAGAAAAAAACCTGCCTTGATAAAAGAAATCTAATACATCAAGGAGGGAGATTCCAGCGCGGCCCTTTGTCAGCTCTGCTGGTTTTCTACCTATACAGTAGTGACTTTGATGTGGGAGAGCATTCAAAAGCACAAATCTTGCAACTACATTCAGAACTGGAAAAGGGCCATAGGTCAATAGTAGAGAACATGCTTTCCTTGCAGATGGTCTCAAGATCAGTCTTGGCTTCTCCATTTTTTAAAAGTACCAGGTACCAGGTGATGGGAAAGAACTCCACCTGAGGCACTGAAAAACTTCTGCAACTCAGGAGTGGAGCGATGCCATCTTTTCCACCACCTCTGCCGTTTACTATCGCATTCTGTTGCACAGACAACGCTCCTGTTTCTTCCAAACAATAGGCTGCCAGGCCCATGGCTGATGCCACCATGCGAGAAACAGCCACATGAAGGCTTAACTGTTAGCACATTTCTGTATATATCCAAAAGGCTGCTGCATAGATTCATCCATTGAAATAGCACCGAGGCCCCTTGCTCACAGATAAACATGTTTCCCTAGTAGCCCTCTTAAGAAAAATGAACCTGTCCCAACCCTACAGGCTAAGCCATATTATAGATACATTGCCAGTTCATTTCTCTTCAGCAAAATGTTCGACGAGGTCAAAGCACCATAGCGGTCACTCACCTGGGCAGCTCTGCTGGCTGACTTTCTAAAGGGGCAGCAACAGCCTCCGGTGGCTCCACGGCTGCATTGGCGGCTTGTGCATCTACTTTCTCCTCCACTGCCACAGGCTCCTGTGACTCTGTAGCCTTTCCACCCTCCGATACAGAGTCATCACCCACTGCTGCACTGATCTCAACCTCCTCAGCTACAGCTGGCACCACCTTCACTCTCTCTCCTGCAGCTGCCATGTCCTCCTCTCTTTTCTTCACTTTTTCCTGAAGTTCTTGCTGTCTTCTGTCATCATCTTGGCGGGCCAGGTGTTCAAAGTTTTTGAAAGCCTGAAAGTGATACAGCAAACAAAGCAACAGCCCAACCATTAACCTATAGATAACCGTAAGAGAATGGATGGAAAGGGTGTGCTTTTTTTCAGAGGAGTGACATAACTGCTCCTTGAAACAGACTGCTTCATGGATGACCTACAGAAACAAAGCCATTTATATTTCTAACAAAACAAGTGCTGAAGTTTTGGAAGGACAACCAGCCCACGGTATTATCATTGAAGGATGGGAAATTATGCAGAAAGAAGAACTATACTAAACATAAACTTCTAGTGAGATGCTTTAGGGCAGTGGTGGGGGACTGGACACAGTCAGCAGGCCAGATAATCATCATCATCAATTTTTATTTATACCCCGCCCTCTCTACCCAGGGCCAGGCTCAGGGTGGCTAACACCAAATATGAATTACAATAAAACATAATAGAAAAAGAAAAAAGCCTCACCCTTCATTGGCACTCACCTGGCAACACAGTGATGGCAGGTGACCTTTCTTTGAGGCCACACTTTTCTTTGGAATACCCAACAACCTTGTCAAGCACTCTGTAAGGGACCTGAAAGCCTTGCTGAGGGCCTTGCAAAGCACTATATTGTGAAAAGCCTTAAAATACTGACCAACCAGCTATTTGTCAGGTCTTCTGAAGCCCCTTGCAAAGCTCTCCACAAGACCCAACAGCTGATACTTGGGTCTTGCAGAACCCTTTGCAGGTTCATCAACAGTGCTTGAAAAGCCCCTTTCTGCTTGCTACCTACCCCACACATTACCTCATGCATAGGGGAGGTGGGCATAGCTTGGCCAAAATAGCCTTGCAGACCAAATAAGAAGGCCTGGTGGGGACCAATTAGGCCCGTGGACTAAAGGGTTTCCACCCCTGCTGTAGGGTTTCCACAAAAACTCAGGGCCATAGATAAAAAATACAAGTAGTATCTTTAAAATGCCACAACAGTATTTGTTGTATGTGTTCGGTGTAACAGACCTGTTTAGCTACCCCTACAAAATTAAAACGTAATGACACGTACCTGCAACATCTTTTCTCATAGCCTTGTACCCAACCACCTGCCTGGTCACTGTAGACAACAAGGAGTTAACTGAGTCCACTTAAGTGAGCAGGTTACAGGAAAAAGGATATCACACTCTAGCAGCCCACCTCATTTCTAAGCTGGGCAAAGTCCTTCATAGAGAAGATAAAATGCAGATTTTAAGAGAATAATAAGGGCCATCTAAACTGCCACAGGGATGAGGGTGAGGCAGAATAAATATGCAGCACTCCACTTGTAGCAGGCTCCTCTTCCTCTCTAATTGCCATGTGTTAACTCTCAGCCCCATCCGAACGACACATTGAAAAAAAACATCTCCACCCGTCTCATAGCCACACGCACACAGGGTCAGTTATTTCACAAACACACTTGGATCTAAGTGTTTAATCTATTCATGCTTCTGATGCCCAGTTTTTAGAAAGCAGCTGACAAAAATAATTCAATAGCCATTCTAGAACAGTCAACTGTTCCAAGAATAGACTGGAGAGGTCAGGCTGAAGTGGATATCAATCTGAAGGCCAGACTTCTGTCTGAGACAGCATTAACAAATGCATGTAAAAAAGATACATGGGTAAGATGTGGGCAAAACCATAGTCCAGTTCCAAATTGAAACCTGTAGTGTGCAGTGAAAAAGCCAAAGCCTGCTGCATTTTCATCAGATTTTATACAAGAAAACCTGGGAATCTAGGAAGAAGAACAAGCCTGGAAAACAGCTACATGACAGCAGTAATGGGATCTAAGGAAGGGACAATGCAGGAAAAACAGCTAATTAATGCTTCTGTCCCACTACTTGCCATTGGGATCTTCTCCCTCTCTTTTAAAAGTAAAGGGGTGTGTGGGTGGGTGTGACAAGAGTGAGAGAGACATGAAATTAAGAAAGCACCATTTCAATTTAGAATTGGGTACAAAAGAAAACTTTATTTAATCATACTCCTACAAGGAAGTAAAAGAAGCCCTAACACAGCTTTTATTTCTAGTTATCAAAAATAAAGCTCTTCTGGTGATAAATTTAAAAAACTTTACCTTTTCTCTAGTTTGGTTACAGAACTCTTTAGAGCTCTAATGCTAAAAAGATAAGCAGTTCTAGAAATCAAAGGTGATTTTCAATGTTAGTCATACCTGAAAACAGACCCAATGAAGTCAACGGGCTTAAATAATTTATTGGTACATTAACTTTAAATAATAATAATTCGCTCAAATGCATTGTCATTACCTTAACTAAGATATATTCAACTTTAATAATGGATCCTTTTTTAAAAACGGTCTCTTATTTCACAAGAAAAGGTTGGACTTTTGCCACAGACGCCTCTTAATTCCAGTCATGTATACAAAGCCATTGTATATCCACCATCCGATAAACCACAATGGAGAGGGATTCTTAATTATATTTTGGAATCACTAAGATCTTGCAAGAGAATGTTGGGTCTCATTGTTTCACTGATTTAGCCCCTTAAGAATGTGGGATATCCTATATTTAAACCAATATACACTGTGAGAAGGGAGAAGAGCACCCATACGCCTCAAAAAAAAGTACAGCTGGTGCAAATTACAATTATTTTTAGTCTTATTTATGTTTATGGAGATGACAGAGAAAGTCACTTTACATTTCTGGCACATTATAAATTTAATTAATTAAGGCTGCAACCTTATACCCACTTATATGGGAGTAGGCATGTAAAAGGTTGCACTTAACTCTCCACTTAAGACAGTGGATAAAGAGCAAGAATTTTGCATCCAGGGAACCAAGCACCCAACTGCCAAAGGTGGGTGAGCACGGTGAGCTAAAAGAGGATTAAAAAAACCACAATCTAATTCTTATCAATCTAATAAAGATTGGGATTGGAATGTGAATGGACTGGAGTGACAATGCCATCATAGGGCAATGTGTCAGAAAAGAAATTAATTCTGTTTTGTTTTATGTAAGCCATCATGGGAATTGTTCCAGGTGAAGAGGGAAAATAGAACTGAAACATATATCTGCCACCTAAGGATCATACTTTATGCATGAAAGTGGGCTCTAGCCCAAAAAACATAGCAGTGTAATTCTGAGTTTTGTCTGTGGCACCTTAGAGACTGTTTGTTGAGTTTGCTGTGACAAACTGACGCAGCTACTCCTGCGGAATGCGGTGTAGTTGTTAATGTTGGGCTAAGACTGGGAAGGCTCCAGGTTCGAAACCCAACTCAGGCATGAAGCTCACTTTGAGCCAGCCTCTCTGTGTCTCGTTTCTTTCTCTCTCTCTCTCTCTCTCTCTCTCTCACACACACACACACACACACACTTAGTCTGTGCCTAATGTACCCCCACTGGGATGCTGCGATTATTAAAACGAGGGTGGAAAATGATAAGCCTAAATTCATTGAAGCCAGGGGGAAAACATCTCACAGTGCAACAAATATCTGTATAAACAACAGATCAACTACTGCAGCACTTTAAAAATGGTCTGATTTGTTATTCTTTATTAGGCCTCATACTCACTTGTCTCCAAGCGACTTTGGACGCATTTTGTTGTTGTTCTGAAAGGCAAACCTACCTTGTAACTGTTCAAGAAACACCCTATAATTCCTTAACCATATACGGACAGAAAACAATCCGCTCCAATAGAACCCACCACAAGAAAATCCATAGCATAAGGCTTCGTGGACTAAAGCTTCCCTTCCACCTACAAAAGCCACGGAAATAAACAACTATCTGACTTTTAGAAGACATCTGAAGATAGCCCTGTTTAGGGGAGTTTTAAATGTTTGGTGTTTTATCGTGTTTTTACTATTCTGTTGGGAGCCACCCAGAGTGGCTGGGGAAACCCAGCCAGATGGGCGGGGTATAAATATATTATTATTATTATTCCAGAATAAATCTTTATGGAGTCTTTAGAGATGCCCTGCCAGGACTGTGCTGCTTTTTTTGTTTTGTTTTGCTGACAGAAAGAGTTAAACCTCCCGGAAATGGCTACCTAAATAAGGATTCGTATGAAACGAAAACAAATAACTCTTCATTTTGAGCGAGGGGCAAGGGAGCTGGGCGAGGAGCCCCCAGCCTCTCGGACTCACCCGCAGCGCCATGCACTTGGCCACCCCCGGAGGGAAGCCGAGCCGGTCGGCCGGCTGCACCAGGAGCCGGTAGAAGTCGGTCTTTCGGTACAAGAAGCCGAAGAGGATGTTCAGGAACTCCTGGACGTTCCCCACATGCTGCAAGATGCCCAGCAGCGCCTGGTCGTACATGTCCGTCATAGCGGCCGCCCGCTCCATGGGAGACACCCGAGGCCGGAGGAGAGAGGCCTGGTCGAAAGACGCCGGAGGACACGGCGAGGCCGAGCGAGCGAGCGGGCGACCAGCCTCCCGCCCCCAGCAACGAGCGCCTGGGAACTCCGACTGGAGAGTCCGCCGCTGTCACGGCAACCCTCACTCGGTGGGGCAAGCCGGTGACGTGATGGCAGCGGGCACTTCCGGTCCGGCGCGGAAATGGGTCCGTCCCCGAACAGCTTCCCGGCGCGGCGGAGCCGCAAGGTTCCGCTTGGGCGTTTAAAACGGGCGAGCGTCTTCGACGAGGAATTTACTACATCCCTCCGCGTAGTGGAAGCAACTTTATTGGGCTCTGCCCATTTACCTGGGAGTAAGCCCCGTTGGGTGGCTTGCTTCTGAGCAGACGTGTGAGGTTGAATTATTGTTGTTTCTTTTTTAAAAATAAATATTTTTTTATTATTGTTTTGACAAAGTAGTAATCATAAATGAGAATAAAAACCATACCCCACCCCCGAGACCATTGCATTGTACTATCCCGCCTCCCAAAATTTCATCGCCTCTTGCGATGGTTTGACCCCCTTTCCTTTTTAACAGTAGAAATTATGCAAACACGTTCCAGATTTCAAAATAATTTCTCCTGCATATTCCCCTTTGCCTGGGAGTAAGCCCCGCTGGGTGGCTTGCTTCTGAGCAGACGTGTCAGGTTGCATTATTGTTGCTTATTTTTTAAAAAAATGTTTATTTTTATTTTGACAAAGTAATAAGAATAAATAAATAAGAATAAAAACGTGCACCCCACCCCCGAGACCATTGCATTGTAACTATCCAACCTCCAAAAATGTCAACACCTCTTGCGATAGTTTGACCCCTTTCCATTTTAACAGTACAAATTCTACAAACACCTTCCGTATCGCCTCAAAATCATTTCTCCTGCATATTCCCTATCTTACCTTAATAGCACATTAATTTATTAAAAGCTATATCCCACACGTCTTTATACCATTCTTCCATTTTATATTCACCTTGCCCCTTCCACTTCCTAGCTATAATAACTGGTGCAGCTGTCAATAAATTTGTGAGCCATTCCTTCCTAGACTGTTTATCTTCCACCCCATTGTAAATTGGTATAATGCTACCTCTAGACTTTCGATCAGCTTTAATTCAGGGATTTCTGTTATCTCCTTAAACACCGTTTGCCAAAAAAATTATACATATTTACACCCCCCACCACATGTGAACATAAGTCCCAGTTTCCTGTTTCTAACGTTATTATCATCATTATCATTGATGGCTTGCATTCAAACCATTTCCAGCACCGTTTGGAATACATGACTGTTCTTTCCCCCTGAGGTGGTATAATAGACCTGCAATAGTTTTTTTAATACCCCCACACTTTTTTCAAATCACCTGCAAATAGAAAACTTGCATATTCTAACAGCCTTCTAGCAGACATTTTACCTGTAGGGCTAATTTCCTCTTTGCAGAGAGTGGGTCCCCCCCCCCTTTATGGGAGCATTAAAAAACGACATCATCCACCTGTAGTCTGAAGTGTTAGAGCCCATACTACCTTCTTAGCATTATGTTATCATCAAAATTATCACATTAACCCTACTGTGTGGAAATCCCTTGCAGACAACTGCAGTGCCTGGAGACAAAGATGCATTTCCCAACACAAAAGCAGGACCAGCACTCTTCCTGCATACTGCCTCTGACAGGGAAGGTACAACATTGCCATTGGAGCTAGTACAGTGGTGCCCCGCAAGACGAATGCCTCACAAGACGAAAAACTCGCTAGACGAAAGGGTTTTGCGTTTTTTGAGTCGTTCCGCAAGACGAATTTCCCTATGGGCTTGCTTCGCAAGACGAAACGTCTTGCGAGTTCTTGCGAGTTTGTTTCCTTTTTCTTAAAGCTGCTAAGCTGCTAATAGCCGCTAAGCCGCTAATAGCCGGGCTTCGTGGAACGGATTAATTTCGTCTTGCAAGGCACCACTGTACCCTTATTGTCCATGAAGTTGTCTAATCCTCGTTTGAAGTCATCCAAGTTGGTGGACATTACAACTTCTTCTGAGACCGAAATCCACAGTGTAATTATGTGCTGTGTAAGGAATTACTTTCTTTCCTCTGTGCTGTATCTTCAAAGTGGATATGTACAGTGGTACCTCGGGTTACATACGCTTCAGGATACATATGCTTCAGGTTACACACTCTGCTAACCCAGAAATAGTGCGTCAGGTTAAGAACTTTGCTTCAGGATGAGAACAGAAATCGTGCTCCGGCGGTGCGGCTGCAGCAGGAGGCCCCATTAGTTAAAGTGGTGCCTCAGGTTAAGAACAGTTTCAGGTTAAGTATGGACCTCCGGAACGAATTAAGTAATTAACCCGAGGTACCACTGTATATGATTACTGCCTAAAGCAGCCACAAGCTGCAGCTCTGATTTTAATGAACATCAAAACTAGGGGAGGATTTTTAACTCTTTGTCCCTGGATTACTTTTTCAATCTAGCCCTCCAACACCTCCCCACAAGCTGCTATTAACCCTGTAGCAGGAAAGATACAGTTGTGTGTATTCCTTACCAAAGGAGACTGAGGCTGGATCTACACTGATCTGGAAAACGCTGTTAAAAAACAACCCAACACTTTAAGAAAAATATTCCTCCCAATGACTCAGAGTAGATCCGTTGCAATTAATCAGCCTAAATTAGTAATGGCCATTAATTGCAAAAGGCCTGCTCTGTGTATGGCTTGAATAAAGCCCCTTATCTGTTTACCATTTTGTTTGCAAATTGCGAACCTTTTTGCAAACATAGCATGAGTGAATTTCAGATAGCACATCCTCATTTCATACTCTGACCACGTGAGAACTACTAAGTTAACAGAAGGAATTGTGATAGAAGAAACTTGATTTTAGGATCAGGTTGGTTGAACATGGCCAACTAACAGGTAAGATTGATAAATAAGCACTTTTAAGTGCTCTGGTCTAATGTGTCCATCGTATAGAAGTTCCATCAACTTGACAGATTTCTCTTTTGTTCAAGTGAACACCCTGGCAAGAGCAGTCAATAGATTAGAGGACGGATATTACGACAAATGATATTTACAGGTTCATTAATTTGTTCTTGTACAGTGAAACAGAACAGGCGCATTGACTTCCAGACAAAGTGAATTATTGTTTCATTTAATTTGTTCAATGTCCCTTGTCTTATTAGTCGTCACTAACAGTTTTTCCACTTGCTGCCATGGTCTTACAACAGCCCTCCAGAACCAGGAGTCTTCCAGTCTGTATCTCTCCCTCATCACCACCTTAATCCTCTTCCAGAACTTCAGGGTGTGCCAATGTTTCAAGCTGAGATCTAAACCAAATCAAAGCGGGTCCTCAATACCCACTAGGTTCCTCATGTCCATTGACAACTACACTGATTCTGGTGGTCTCAGTTACAGAGCACAAAGGCATCTCTGTTGCAAATGGAGGGTAAATGATGCATGGAGACGCAGCAAGGCTTGCTTCTGGACTGTACATCGTAGCTGTCATTTCTGGTATAGATAAGGAATGGCTTTCTCGTATTGCCCTCCACTTGGTAAACAATCTGCAATACCTGTAAAGAAAAAGAGATAATCTCTCAAGCATTATCCATTTAATAAGTGATATGCATAATACAATCCTGTGTGTTTTGATTCAGGAGAATGTTCTGCTGTGTTCAAGGGACCTTATTCCCAGGTCACTCTCCACAGCAGGAGTGTGAAACATTTTCCAACCTGAGGGCCACATTCCCTGCTGGGCAATTTTCCAAGGGCCACAGGCAGAGGCAAGAATGGGCAGAGCAACAAAATGGTTGCAATGCCTCACGGCCTGCCCCTTTCCATATGAACATACCTGGACACTGAGATCATCCTCTGAGGCTCGTCTTTGTGTGCCTCCTCTCCACAAGAGGTCCGGAGGGTGGCAACACAAGAACGGGCCTTTTCTGCAGTGGCCCCCCATTTGTGGAATGCTCTCCTCAGGGAGGTTTGGCTGGCGTCTTCATTATACACCTTCAGGCGCCAGGCGAAAACGTTCCTCTTCAGCCCGGCCTTTAGCTGACTGACATCTGATGAGCTTTGAAATGTGTTGTGGTAGGGGGAATTATTGGTTTGTTTCTGTTCTTATTTTTATGATTTGTTTTGGGGGTTTTTTAATTGTAATTTTATGCCGTGAACTACCTTGAGATCTACAGGTATAGGGCGGTATACAAATTATTATTACTATGACGATGGTGATGATGGTGATGATATCTTACCTTGGGCTCGTTTCCATTCATACACCCCTCTCTTTATCCTCCTTCCCCACAAGCCAAGAAGCAGTGTCAGAGTTCAAGGATACATTCCAGTCCGGGCAAAAGCACTCCAGGGGAGTGCGAAGCAGGGCTGGTGAGGGATGTGTCAAGTGGAGAGGTGGCGTGGCTTGTAGAGAGTCCTGAGGGCTGGACTGAGATTCCCCCTCCCTGTTTCACCCTTAAAATAAAGCTTGCAGCATCCTTCTGTTAGAAGAATTTTAAGGTCTCAAATATATATTCATTAATGCACACATATCTAAATATATAATCCATGTGTCTGAAATAGTACAGGAGTGCAATCCTGAAGCCATTCTGACTCTCCTGGTGACCTCAAATACTCCCTGCTGGAAGGAAGACAAATGGGGAAAGCCTCCCCATTGTCTTTTCTCTTACAAATCCTGTCTTAAAGGTGTATTTGTGTATGAATAGGGTGAGCCTGAGACCCGGATTCAGGAACTAAAGTATTAACGATCATGAAAGAATTGCCAGGCTGCCCAGGTAATGCAATCAGCGACCCTTATCAGGTATCCTGGCATGATTTCTGCTGTAGACCACCTCCTATGATGTATGTATGACGATTTTGGGGTGGTCTTTGGCTAAGGTGGTTGGGCAATGTCAAAAGTCCTTAAAGGTTCCTGCAAACTTCTGTTCAGAGTCTCTCTCTCCTTGGAAGGAGGGAAGGAAACTCTTTTGCAACAGAAAAATAAATATCTGCCTTGCTTTCTACTGGATCCTGCCTCCATCCATTCTTCTCTGACCGATCATGGAGTTAGGGTACTCGGAGACCCATGGGGAGTTGGGCAGCAAAAGCTAAACCCCTATATTTACATCACTTCTCACAACAGGAAGTCACCCTCTACTGAATTAGCTCTTTCCCTCCACCACATCCCCTCCTGTTCCTCGTCCCCACCTGGACTGGGCCATCCTCTCGCGGAAGAACTCGGTGCAGAAAATGACAAGGATGGGGCTGACACAGCTGTGGGCGTAGCTGAGGCAAATAGTAGCCTGGTACAGATAGAAAAAGGCAGCAGAGGGTGTGGCATTGAGGTTGACCAACTGCAGCACGTGGTACGGAGTCCAGCAGACAAAAAAGGCAGCCATGATTGTGAGGGCCATGCGGGTCACCTTCCGGCTGCGGGCAGATGGCTTCCTATGCACCCGGCGCATGGTGCGGAAGAGGTGCTGCAGAGTCAATGAATACAGTACAGTGATCACCAGCAAGGGGAGCAGGAAAGCCAGCAATGACTGGTACAGGGTATACCAGTATATACTGTGGGGACCTGGTAAGTCAAGGAGGCAGATCTCCGTCTTGTTGTCCCAGTGCACCCGGGCATAGAGCATCGCAGGCGTGGCCAGAATCAAGCTCCCAGCCCACACACCAGCGTTGATCAGAGTTGTGCACCGCAGGGTCCGTTTCTGGCCGATGGTGGACGAGTACACAACTGCCACGTACCTGGAGAGAGAAATGAACTGGCGTCAGGGATACAGGAGACACAGGGCGGCACATTCCACAAAGGAGACAAGGCATATGTCCAAATATCCACAATAAACGTGCACAGTGACCATGGTAACTCATTGTTGGTGATTATCGGAGGGATGCGCTGTGTAAAATGGTTGCTGGGACTGTCATTTGCAACGGAAGAATCGGATGGGAAATAGAGCCGCTGTCCTTTTTTCTGCAAATATAACAGAAGGGAAGACAAACCTTCCCAGCTGACATTAAGACTATCCCATCGATGCTAACTTAAACCTATAACTTAATATGCACAAATAAATGAGATTGACAGTAATAAGCCATGTGTTCAAATGCAGAAAGGACAGCGAGGACATCACACTACTGGGTAGTGGGTGGTAAGTGTTTTGTCCCTGCAGGATCCATCTGTTAGCCTCTACACCACAGGGATATAATTTAAGAGCGAAGGAACATCTGCAAATATCAAGGATTTCTCCAAATGACAGTTAATATGAGCAATAATTTATTCCGCTTTACTGCCTATGCCATAACTTTCCCATAAATCAGGCCTAAACAGCTGGTTGCTTCCAGATCAAGCATGGCACTCCAGCTGCAAAGGGGCCCAGTGTCACTGAATGACTTTCCAGGATTTCAGGCAAACATATTTACCATCTCCTACTGCAGTCTTTGCCAACCTGGTGCTTTCCAGATGTTTGGACCACAACTCCCATCAGCCCCAGCCAACAACTATGCTGGCTGGGGTTGATGGGAACTGTAGTCCAAAATATCTGGAAAGCACTAGATTGTTGAAGTCCAATCCTTCTCACTGGAAATGCCAGGAACTGAACCTGGGATTTTCAGCTTGCAAAGCAAGCACTCCGCCACAGACCTATGGTCCTTCTGAGTTGCTTCTGAATTAGCATACCATGTTCATCCCGCTCTTCTACCTTGGCTCCTACCTGTCTACACACAGCAGAGTGACAATGCCCACGCTACTGAACTGGTTGTTGAGGTCGATGGTGGTCGCAGCCCAACACAGAAAGTCTCCAAAAACCCAGCCTTGCTCCTGCAGAAGTTGGTGGATGACAAATGGCATACCAAGCAAGAAGAGTAAGTCAGCTACTGCCAGGTTCAAAATGTAGATGTCGGACACTACCTTCTGCTTGCAGCCCAGAATGACCGAAATCACCATCCCATTGGCCAGAACACCGGAAGCACAAATAAGGGCATAAATGGCGGGCAGCACAAAGCGGACAGCTGGCCCCGGGAAGCTGCTGCCAGCAGCCAGCGTGTGCTCACCACAGCCTGGTTCTAGCTCACAATCCCTTTGAGAGTGGTTTAGTATCCATGGATTAAGAAGACCAGGAGATATGTTGAGGCCAGGAGAGAAGTCGCGGACTCTGTCCAGCAAAAGTGCCATGATGGGCCCTGGGCAAGGGATGGAGCCAAGGAAAATCCAACATGGCCATTCAAAGGAGCAGAAGGCCTCTGTGCCGGAGATGAACGCCAACTCTATGTCTCAAAGCCCAAACTGAAACAATGCCAATTGCCTCCTTCCTCAGTAGAAGCTCTATGGTTTGATGCTGGTGTGTACAGGGATAAACCTTGAAAGACTGTTGTTCATCTTTTGGCAGGAGACTCAGCAGCTTGGCTCCATTGTACATGGTTCTTCTTGTCTTGTCTCGGGTGCCATCTAGAGCACTCTAAAGAGGAAATGTTCCAGTTGCCTCTTGGACATCCTGGAAGACAAATGAAGGACTTAGGAACATAGGAAGTTGCCATATACCAATGATTCATTTACACTGATGGGCAGCAGCTCTCCAGAGTTTCAGCTGGAATATTCCCATCCCTTCCTGGAGAAGTCAGGGACTGAACAGGGCTGATGCTCTACCACCAAGCTATGTGTGTCCTTCCCACTTACATTAAAAGAACAGCCAGCTACCAAAGTCAACATCCATAAACTGTCCATTCATTAGAGGTAATGAAAAGCACGTAACATGGGGAAATCCAGCCATACGGGCGTGGTATAAATAATAAATTGTTGGTTGTTCTGGTGGTGGTGGTAGGATATATTACCACATGATTCCACAGATTCAGCTAACAAAATTTTATGGTTCCTTAGTGCAATCAAGAATGGAAAATCTGTCTTACCCTCCAGATGTCAGTGAACCACAGGTCCGATAATCCATGAACATTTTCCATTTTGGCTGGGGCTGATGGGAGCTGGACTTCAACATCTGGAACATAAGAAGAACCCTGTTGTATCAGGCTAAAGGCCCATTTAATCCAGCATCCTGTCCTCCCAGTGGCCAACCAGTTGCCAATGGGAAGCTCAGAAGCAGGGCCTGAGCATAACAGTATTCTCCCCGCTTGCAAATCTCAACAACAGGCATTCAGAGGTATACTGACTTCAACAGTGGAGTTAAGGCATAAACATAATAGCCAGTAGCCACTGCTGGCTTTTGTCACCAGACTCGGCTCTAGATAAAGGAGTGTTCCATGCAGCCCAATATCCAAACAGCGAGAGACTTCAAGGGTGCCAGCAATTACCTTGTGTTAAGTTTTCCTTGGAATGAAAGTCACAGGAGACTGTGGTGTCTTTTTGATATATGGTTTTATTTACACACACACAATGTGAGCATAAGATGGAAGGGCTCAGAGCATCAGCTCTCGCTGCCCCACTAGGTTTTCAGGAATCCGCCACCAAAAACCATAGCTTTGGTTTCAGCACAGAGTGCAAGGCCAGCCCCTGTGTCTTTCCCGCTCTGGGTGAGATTACACCACACAGGCCCCTGGTCTATTGATCGCCAACCCCTAGGATGACCTGGTATCCAACCACGTTGGTGGGGAAGGCTAATCCCCTCCTTCTAAAAAGCATCACTCACTAGTTAAGTATTTCTATGACAACACATATATTCTTGATCAACTATTTAGACATGTAAATAGGATTCTTAAGAGGCTGCTGGCTAGGACCATTAGCTTAATAAACAGACTGGTTTGTCCACTCAATAGTTGCTTCTACTGCAGGCTCCTGTCTTACAGGTATAACCACAGGTTTGGCGACCCAAAGACATCATCCACACACACACGGAGATTTCCTGCCTGATTTTGTGCCCGGGGCTCAGTGGGCAGCAGAGAGTTTCCCCTTGGTTAGGGTTACAACTAAAACAGTGTTAGGGGGCCCTCCTTCAACCTCAAATCCACATTATCCCATCCCCAAAAAGTCTTGACAGTGGGATGACTGACCCTGACTCCACCGCTGCTCCCACTTCAGCCGCTGGTCCTGTGGTTAAAAGCCCACTCCTTCCATGCCCCCCACCAGGTGGGTTTCGATACATCACACAAACCCCAGGGAGTCTCTCTCATACACCTCAAAAGATGCTACCTCAGTTTCCAGCAGGGGTGTCAACTTGAATAAAATATTTGGGAGGGGGGCAGGTAAGCATCACCCACCCATAATCAATCACATGAACACGGTGCATGCACATCATTTGAATGGCAATGCCCATCAACTTTGGGGTGGGGGGCTGGACCCCTCAAATATTTTAAGGGGGGGTCCAAGACCCCCTCGGCCCCAGCCGTTGGCTCCTACGGTCCCCAGTAGCACAAAAAATAATTGGAATGAATTATTCGTGTTATTGAAGCACTCACACGTTCATCTTCATGGGATGGAGGAGGGGAGAGGCGGAAACGCTCACACCCCACTAAAGAAAAAACCGAGGCGCAGGTGTCCCGATGCGGGGAGGGGGCGCGGCGGCCGGCTGCTCGTTTACAGCTCTACCTCCCTCGGCTCCCGAATCTTGCCTAAGCGGTGTCACTCCGCTTTCCTTTCGAGCGAGATGGTTCCAGTCCGGCTTGTCCCGGGAGCAGAGGGACATGGTGAAGAAGTAACCCCACACGCCCCCCTCCCCTGTGCCTCGTGCGTTTACCCTTCCGTCAAGATCTCCACGTGTACCTCCTCCTCCTGCTGCTGCTGCTGCTGCAGACGCGTGTTCGTGTGGATGCGCGCGGCGCGCCTCTCTCCGAAGCCGGCTCTCTCCCTGGCGCGCGCAGTCGCCGCCCATCAGTAGATCCTCTCGCTCGCGCCTTTCTCTGCGTTCTGCAACAGTTTGCAGGAGAAGATACGAGCGGAGGAAGGACCGTGTGGGTTTCTGTTTCACCCAGCCTCAGAGACGCCTTCACCGCCTCGTCCGGCATTTCTACCCGCCCCTCGCTCTCCAATGCCTATTCCCCTCCCTTTAAAAAAAAAAAGGAGGGGGGAGAAAGAAAAAGCAGACATGGATTCGCATTGGGCTGAAACTTCTCTCTTCTGATCTGAAGCTCTGCACATATGGAAAGATGATGGTGTAAGATGAAAGCACTCTGCACATGCTCAGGGCATGCACTTTTTCCAAACAAATGCCAATGACTTTTCCAGCCAGCTTTTACTCCAAGGAGCTTGGCTCAGGGCCAGGATACGTGACGGCCACTTTGTCTGTCCTCCATACTGCCCCCTATCAGTCCAGTCCCCTTCCCCTTTAACTAGGGTCTTGGTCTGCCACCAAGAAAATCCTTAATAAAAAACAACAAAACATCCAGGAGCCTGGTTGGGAGGGCAGTGAATGGCAGCCAGCATAGCTGGGCTGGTGAGGACTCCTTCCCTTTGCCAGGGCCCAGCCTAGCAGACTGCAGGTGCCAGGATGGCCGAGCCACAGGGGGTGTGGGTCTTCTCTGCAAGAAGAGGGCCTTTAAGAGCTGTCCAGATGCTTGTGGAACAAACAAGCCAGCTTTCCCTCTCCCATCGGCGCCGTCAGACACTTGCACAGTATAGCTGGAGCACCGCAGAGACAAAAGTGCAAATTGGAAGCCCCAGCAGCTGCAGAGAGGGTACGTGGGCTGAGTCATCCGTTCATCCTGCACCTTGCTGGCATCGCAGTAGGAAGGGGGCGTCAAAAACGTTTGACAGTTCAGCCCCCGCCTGTGTGGGTGAGAGGGTGGAAGAGCCAAACGCAGTGCTACAAAAAGGGTGTGCTGAGCAGCTCCAGCAGCAAAATTTATTTGTACATTGGTACCTCGGGTTACAGGGACGCAGGTGGCGCTGTGGGTTAAACCACAGAGCCTGGGGCTTGCCAATCAGAAGGTCGGCGGTTCGAATCCCCGCGACGGGGTGAGCTCTTGTTGCTTAGTCCCTGCTCCTGCCAACCTAGCAGTTCTAAAGCACATCAAAGTGCAAGTAGATAAATGTAGATAAATAGGTACCGCTCCGGCGGGAAGGTAAGCGGCGTTTCTGTACTCTGCTCTGGTTCACCAGAAGTGGTTTAGTCATGCTGGCCACATGACCCGGAAGCTGTACACCGGCTCCCTCGGCCAATAAAGCGATATGCACGCCGCAACCCCAGAGTTCGCCACGACTGGACCTAATGGTCAGGGGTCCCTTTACCTTTATCTTACCTCAGGTTACAGACGCTTCAGGTTACAGATGCTTCAGGTTACAGACTCCGCTAATCCAGAAATAGTACCTCGGGTTAAGAACTTTGCTTCAGGATGAGAACAGAAATTGTGCCGTGGTGGCCCGGCAGCAGCGGGAGGCCCCATTACCTAAAGTGGTACCTCAGGTTAAGAACAGTTTCAGGTTAAGAACGGACCTCCAGAACGAATTAAGTTCTTAACCCGAGGTACCACTGTAATAAGAATATTGGAAGATGCCTTGTACCATGTCAGCTTGTTGGTCCGATTTGGTCCGGTGTGGTCTATTCTGACCAACAGCAGGGGACCCTCAAGATCACAAGTAGTAGGGAACAGATCTCAAATATTCTCCTTAGGGAAGGTGGAGTGAGAACTATTAAATAATCCTCTCCATCAGGACGAGGGAGGGAAATAAGTGCTACAGCTTGTACAAATCCACCTTGCTGAATGCCACAGCTGCCCTTCCCCTCCATCCTTCTCATCAGCAGGTGACCTGCTGGCACAGAGATTAAATGCTAGCAGATTTGCTGCTAACATGTGGCTTTAATGACACCTACTGGGATCTGCTTCTTCCCACTCAGAGGCATCATAAATGAAGCCCCATCATGCTGGGCTCACTGAGTCCTTCTCCCGCTGCCTTTCCCTGCAGCGCCAAATGGCAACTTTTAGAGAATGCTTTTGCCAGTAATTTGTGCTTGACGGAGCGCCAACAGCTCTGCACATTCAGAGCCAGTAAAAAGTATCCAAAAATTTCAGATCATAAACCATGAAGGAATCCATCCTGCTGGCTTTCTGGGGTGAGGAATGAGTCTGCCAGTAATGGGATGGTAAGCCCCTCTCCTTATTTTCTTAAAGGGACATTGCAAAGCTTTTTCGGTGGCATTATGGGTAGTATCCAATGCTAGTCACATTCAGAGGAGACACCTTTAAATTAATAGATGTGGCTAGTTTATGTCCATTGATTTCAGGGAGTCTAGGATTCAGTGGGTCTAGAAGTCAGTAGGAATTCGATCCTGTATTGTACAGTAAAGGTTACAGACCTCTCTGGTTTCCAATTGCAGGGTGGGAAAACTCCTGTTTGATGGTAGGCAGCAGTACATTTGTGCTACTGTACACAGTTCATTCTCACTGGGTGCAACTGGAAAATTTTGCTGATCAGAAGGTTGGCGGTTTGAATCCCCACGACAGGGTGAGCTCCTGTTGCTTGGTCCCTGCTCCTGCCAACCTAGCAGTTCAAAAGCACGTCAAAGTGCAAGTAGATAAATAGGTACTGCTCCGGCGGGAAGGTAAATGGCGTTTCCGTGCGCTGCTCTGGTTCGCCAGAAGCGGCTTAGTCATGCTGGTCACATGACCCAGAAGCTGTTTGCCTGCTCCCTTGGCCAATAAAGCGAGATGAACGCCACAACCCCGGAGTCGGCCATGACTGGACCTAATGGTCAGGGGTCCCTTTACCTTTAAGGCATGCAGGGGAATGGAAGTACAGTGGTACTTCAAGTTACAAACACCTCAGGTTACAAACGCTTCAGGTTACAAACTCAGCTAACCTGGAAGAGTTACCTTGAGTTGAGAACTTTGCCCCAGGATTAGAACGGAAATCGTTTGCTGGCAGCGCAGCGGCAGCAAGAGGCCCAATTAGCGGAAGCACGCCTCTAGTTAAGAACAGTTTCAGGTTAAGAACAGACCTCCAGAACGAATTAAGTTCGTAACTAGAGGTACCACTGTAACAGGGCAAATTATTATTGGAGGAGCAAAGGGCATCCTAGGATTGAGGCAGGGTATCTGCTGAGGCTCCACAACGAATTAGGAGACCAACAGGCAAAAGCCTCTTGCACCTGCTTCCTCTCTTCACCACTGCAACCTGCTTGCTGGTTTCACCTGCCTCTGGTCTGGCCCAGACAACCGTGGGGGTGAGAAGTAGGACCAGCAGGTGCTGGTGCTGCTTTCTTGCTCGTTTACTGTCTACCTGGCAAGAAGGTGGCAGGTAGCAATGATGAGGAACAGCCAGTAATCATGGCAGCAAGGAATATCACCAGTAGAAAACCAGGTCAGTAGTTGATGGCTGATTATGTCAATCTGTGCCTCCACCAGCCATCCTTTTTTGACAGGTCTGAACATCCATTCTGTGATTGGTGGGCCTCAATAAATTTTAGCCCTGTAGGTAGAGAGTTTGAGAAGCTCTGTTCTAGGTTACAGAAGATGCTACAGACACTGTTAGAATGTGAGTAAGGTTGCTTTGATCTGCATTAATAGGCTCAATCTCTACAGTTTAGCCTGGACAACTTGATAAGCGAGCAAGGACAACAATAGTACATAATCGCTTCTCCTCGGCTCTGGAATGAGTTTTTGGAATGTTAATACTCAGTGGAGCTGGGGGAGGAGAGAGATGGCAATGAGGAGATTTTGACAGCTAGAATTTGTGCGACAAAAAAAAAGAGTGGGGAAGAGCTGTGAGCTGAATGCTAATGAAGCACCTTAGGTTTCAGTGGCTCTTTGGGATAATAGAGGCTATGCTATATGCCTGGGTAGTCTGCTTGTTCACAAATTGCTTGGCTTGTGTGTGGTCTCAAGCTGAGCAGGTCTGAGTCTGGACAGGTGACTGTCGGGGAACCATGTGTAAATCTGCCTCGGCCTCCCTGGTGGAAGGAACGCAGGCTACTCAACTCAAACTCGGGGTAGCCAACCTGGAGGACTTCAGGTGTTTTGGACTACAACAACTGTCAGCCCCAGCTAGCATGGTCAATAGGCTGGAATGATGGGAGTTGAAGTCCAAAGCCTATGGAGACTACTGGCATTGGTTTAGTGCTTTCCCTGGAAAGCTCACTGCTCAGGGAAGTAGGAAGCACTGAAAAAGCAACAGTGATCACAGGAGCCAACTCCTAGGGACCTAGGGGTCTTCACCCTCTCCTAATAAAGTATAGTGGTACCTCGGGTTAAGTACTTAATTCATTCTGGAGGTCCGTTCTTAACCTGAAACTGTTCTTAACCTGAAGCACCACTTTAGCTAATGGGGCCTCCTGCTGTCGCCGCACTGCCAGAGCACAATTTCTGTTCTCATCCTGAAGCAAAGTTCTTAACCTGAGGTAATATTTCTGGGTTAGCGGAGTCTGTAACCTGAAGCGTATGTAACCTGAAGCATATGTAACCCGAGGTACCACTGTATTTGGGGGCCTCTCTCCAAGTCAAGCATAGGCTAACTCAGCCCTCCAGATGTTTTGGGACTACAACTCCCATCATCCCTAGCTAACAGGACCAGTGGTCATGGATGATGGGATTTGTAGTCCCAAAACATCTGGAGTTTGCCTATGCCTGCTCCAAGTCAATGAACAATGCAATTCAAATGATGCGTGTGCGCCACATCGTGTGATCGATTGTGCGGGGCTTACCTGCCCCCCCCCAATATTTTATTCAAGTTGGCACCCCTGACAATGATTCAAAACAAATTGCTCCAATCAAACAAGAAGACCTCACAAGTCAGTGGAGGCTGGTGCATTAGGGCAAATGGTACACATCCCAGCCAAGTTCATTTTGTCCTCAGGTAGCCTCTTCCTCCACCTTAGTCTCAGTGTTTGTATAATTCAGCAGGGAGGAAGGTGGGGACAAAAGGATTAGTTAGCTCTGGCTATCGTTGGTTTTTACCCTGCCTTACTGTTGATCCCAAGGGACGCGGGTGGCGCTGTG